AAAGGCTTTTTCTTGGCCTCTAAATCTCCCCTGAATTTCTCAAAGGCTTGAAAACCACGAGAAGCAATATTCTTCGTTAGAGTATCTTTATAGGATACCTATAACGAATTCTTACATTCGTGGGTGTTCGGCTGGAGTTTCCCGGTCGGTGCACAGTCTTTTTCGCGGAGCCTCCATTCGCCTCGGCGATTTCCCCTGATGCCGGCTGGTCGTGACGTTTTAGATTCGCGCCATCATTTTCTCCTTTTTTCACCCGCTCCGAAGTCGCCACGTCGTCGCCTTTTCCTGCTTTTCGGATCTTTACGCGATCGCCAGGTCGATTCGCGGCTACTGGCGATTCCCGTTTTTTTACTTCGGGGGTGCTCCACTGTTACCACCCTGCATTGCCGCACGTGCCTTTTTCATTTTGTAGCACGACAAAATCTGATGCCCTGCTGCGCCGCAAAATTCGCATTTTGTCGGCTGCTGCTTCGCGTCGTATTTGTCGATTTCCATCGGTTCGGCGAACGTGGGGGGTGCCGATCGCTCCGGGCCAAATGTACGGTTTGGCCCGTAGCGTCGTGTGTCGGGTTGACCTCGCGTCAACGCGTCGTACCTTTCAGCTGCCCGTACGATGTCGCGGTAGCTACTGTAGTTCGCCGAAATCACCTGCCTTCGAATCTCCATTTTTAATCCTTCGGTGTAGGCCTGGATTTTCTCGCCTTCGGTCAGGTCAGTAATTCGGTTGAACAGTAACTCCATCTGCTGCGTGTACTGTGATACGCTGCTGTACTGTTTGTGTCGGTGAATCTGCTGCCGCGCCATGTAGACTGAGTTGATTGGTTCGAAGCGTTCGATAAGATCCGCCCGGAACTGCTGCCACGTTTTCTCCCCGCGGGCCACGTCAGTGTAGTAAATCCACTCTAATGCCGGCCCACGTAACAGTGTCGCTGCGAGCCGAATTCTTGCTGCGTCGTGTTGCGGGGTCGAACAGCCAATGGCCTCGAAGTAAATTTCGAGGGTTGCCACGAATCGCCGGACGTCGGATCCCTTCGCGCTGGGATCGAACGCTTCAGGGAGCCTCGGTCGTGCTGCTTCGAGGTTCGGCGACTGTGGTGCCATCGGTCTGTGAAATGTCGGTGTCGCCACTGCTACGGGTGTTGTCGCTGCTGCGTTCGCTGCTGCATTTGTCAGAATGTTATTATCTAGCTTGTAGTGGGGTGCTCTATAGTGAGTACAACCCTGTTAGGGTTTGCTATATGTGTCCCAACTGCTGCTAGTGAAACCCCTCCTTTCTTCAATTCTGTTTCTGCCTGCTAATCTTAACAGCATTCGCTGCTGCTGCGGTGGCGAGTCCTGGTTGGTGTGTCAGAAGGGCCTCGAGTCATCGTAGCGTCGCCTGCGTCTGCTCCATGTCGGTGCGGAGGCTCGCGATGTCGCTCGTGGTCGCATAGTTGTCGCCTTGGCCCTCCATGCCTGACATTGCGCGTCCGAAAAAAAACCGAAACGAGGGGGAGCGAAAAACACGGAACCGGTTTTACGTACCTGAAATCGATGTTTAACTGCGTCGCCCCCGCAGTTTTTGAAGACTCGGTTTTTAGCGGTCGAAAAACTTTCGCGTGTAAACGGGCTCTGATTACCAAGTGTGAGGATCTAGGATCGAGCTCAGAAAAGAGAGTTTGAATTGAATGAATCACCTGGATACAACACGAGGCTATATATAGGCTTGACACAAGGCCCAGTAACCAGGTGTTACGCGAAGGTTCTGAGGGTCGCGAAGCGTCCCGAACAGACCCTTCCCGAATTTGGTAGAAGGCAATTCGGTGTCAACAGAAGATCCCAGAATTCGGTGCACGCAACCTAGCTCGGTGCTATAACTATAATATAATGTAGGAAAGCACCTAGCCTAGGAAATCAAGCAATTCATGCATGCATAAAATAAACCTAAGCTAGATATAGCGTAATAAAGTAAAGGCAAGCAAGCATAGCTGGCATAAGCCGTCGTACTCTCACAGTATCCAACACCCACCAAGTTCCGAGAGAACGAGGGGATGTAGAGACAAGTGAGGAAACCAGAAGAGACAGTCGGGCACGGGAGAGTGGTCGAGCTGCGAGCGACTGCTAGTCCTGAAGTAGGATCAGCCAGGGCAACTGGGACTGGAGCCGAAAGAGATGTGACAGTGGTGTGATCGCGAAAGAAGCACTGAGACGCACCTGAGTCCACCGTGAAGGAGAGCGATGCGACAGCAGTCGTCACGGCTGGACTAGTGACTACACAAGCGCCTACACTAAAAGCACAAGTACCTACACTAGCAACAGGAAAAGGTCCTAAGCTAGGTACACGCAAGCCAGGAGATCCATACGTGACAGAATAAACAGCATCCATAGACATATCAAACACAAGGTAACCACAACGAGACAGACCGGACCAGATCGGTGGCCTCGACTCAGACCCAAAACGCTCACTGTATAGGTCGTCGAGGTGGCTGTAGCAGTGCTGTGCAGAGTGGTCAGGACGCGAGCAGGTAGTGCTAGCACCAGGGCCAGTCAAGATTCGGTACTGGCAGGGGCCGACGTCGCGACGAGCCCCCCAGCTGGCTGGGCCACTGCTGCAGCCAACGCTACCTGAACCACCAGGCCTCCACGGCTGCTGAGGGCGCCACTGCTGCTGAGGGCGCCACTGCTGCTAAGGGCGCCACTGCTGCTCAGGGTGCCTTTGCTGCTGAGGGCGCCACTGCTGCTGAGGTTCCCACTACTGAAACTGCCGGTGCTGCTGTCCCTGATACTGGAGAACTCTAGTGGAAGCCATAGTAAAGGCTAGCGGGGTGCAGGAGTGGCAGGCTAAGAGCGACTAGAGCTAGGAGCGAGGAGTGAGAACAGCTAGGAGCGCCAGGTGAAACTAGGCGAGGAACGGCCGGAGCATGGAGCAAACTGAGCTGTGAGCGAGGAGCAAGAACATCTAGGAGCGCCAGGTGAAACTAGGCGAGGAACGGCTGGAGCACGGAGCAAACTGAGCTGGGAGCGAGTGGAACGAGGAACGGCTAGAGTGAGGCACTGCCGGAGCAAGAAACGTGAGGCTAGAAACTACGGGCTCGAGGAGTGGCTGGAGCGAGGTGTGGTTGGCTAGGAGGAGGTGTGGGCGTATTTCTGGTTGGGGCGCGCATGTCTGGCCAGGGGCGCGCATTTCTGGCTGGGGTGCGCGTTCCTGGGCAGGGGCGCACGCTGCTATGCCCGGGTGGCGCGCGCTGCCCTGCACGTTGGAGTGCGCTGCACTGCAGGGGCGCGCGTTGCTCTGCACGTTGGAGTGCGCTGCACTGCAGGGGCGCGCGTTGCTCTGCACGGGCGACGCGACGGGCTGGGGCAAGGCGCACGGGCGACGCGACGGGCTGGGGTAGGGCGCACAGGCTACGCAACGGGCTAGGGCAGGGCGCACGGGCGACGCGACGGGCTGGGGCAGGGCGCACGGGCTACGCGACGGGCTAGGGCAGGGCGCACGCTAGGCTAGGTTAGGAGCGTACCTACTCATGATGCCATCTTAGAAGTAGAAGCAACGAAATTTTTGCATTAGGGTTGAGAAGCAATACAAGTAGCAACCCTAACTGAGTTGTACTCTCTAGGGAGTACCTCACTGCAGCCTATAACAATTGTATGCATTTGACATAAACACAGGTGTTCCTGCATTTTTGGGCTAGGCTGCTTTGTGACAAAGCGAGAATACTCTAACAAGCGTCTAGCAACAAAGAAAACAGGTACCCAGTTGAAACGACAATACTCTAACAAGCATCTAACAACAAAGAAAGCAGGTACCCAGTTGAACCCTGGTGCTGAGATTGAAGGCTTTATTATACAGAGTACAGCTTTGGCGCCTATTGTCAATCGCCTAGCTGGGCACATAGTCCTCCATAGTCAACTGTAACCCCAGCTGGCAACACCAGAACCTGCAGGTTGGTGAGGCAGGTCAAGTGGTGCAACCCATCCTTAATAACACCGTTGCCAGCCAGACCAAGTTCCTCAAGGCCTATCAGCCTCCCCACATGCACCATGCCAGCACATGTGACACCCTTGTAGTTATCAAGCCATACACTCTTGAGAGGGATCGGTACAAGAGCTGTCAAGTGCTGCAGGCCGGTGTCTGACACGTTGGTGGAGACGAGAGAGGGGTACTCTAGACTGGTCGCCGCCTTGATGCCTTCCAGGGCAGCATCTGAAACGGATGTGTTCCTCATATCTAACTCTGCCAATCGTGGCAGGCAAAAGTGATAGCTGATGCCCTCTGCAGTGAACCCCGAAGAGCCGTCCAGGTCAATGCTCTTGAGGTGGGTCATCGTGGACACGTGGCCGAGGATCGCGTCTGAGAGGCACGAGAGTCTCCCAAGGTTCAGATCGATCTCTTGCGATGCTGACTGGATTCTCTGCAGGATAAAATGACGAAGGAAAAGAATACATTTAGAAAGCTTGCTTTCTCTTACATATGATTTGGCATCGTTCTCATTTCAACTGGCAGATTACAACATGCATCTCAAGCTAGGAAACAGAAGTGCTAGTACATATTATACTACGTATCAATCATTGTACTAGCTATTAATCATTATACTCGCTATCTATTATGCTACTGGCTATCGATCTTCGTGTTCAAACAGCGTCCGTGATGTCCATCGATGTTGGGGCGGGGGGTGGGAGAGTTGTATGAGCCGTTGGAAAATGAGAGACGTGGGTGGAGGGAAATGAGCTCCAACCCACGATTTGTAGTTGGAGAAGGGCGTTTAGCGCGCTTCGACGATGCCAAAACATGCGTTACAAGCAGCTGCGCTTTCGAAATACGAAATTTTGAAAACACTTCGTGTGTTTAAAAAATATAATATTACTTCAACACCGTAAAATGACGAAGGAAAGGAAGACATTACTTCAACACAATGCCATGTCTCCTTTTGGACGCCCCCACTCTTCCTCACTTCCTTCTCAACATCCACCTCCATTCTGCCCTGAACCACAGCCCTTCGCCATGATTTCAAAACTTCCAATTATCCGCATGATGCTTCCAGCTCCCTCTCCCTCACTTCCACCCGTCCGCTCAGCTCCCTATACTCTACTGCTCTCATCCGCTCAGCCTCCTCCAACATCCCTCTAAGCACTCTCATATCTGTCGATCGACTCCTCTCTTCCTCTTTCACTTCATGCCTTGTCTCTTCCAAGTGCATACAGAGAATCCTGGTCCGGTCGCTGTGTTCAGCCAACTCCCCCTTCACCACTGCCAACTCCCCATTCACTGCTACCAACCCCCCCTTCACCACTGCTCTCATCCGCTCAGCCTCCTCCAACATCCCTCTAAGCACTCTCATATCTGTCGATCGACTCCTCTCTTCCTCTTTCACTTCATGCCTTGTCTCTTCCAAGTGCATACAGAGAATCCTGGTCCGGTCGCTGTGTTCAGCCAACTCCCTCTTCACCACTGCCAACTCCCCATGCACTGCTACCAACTCCCCCTTCACCGTTCCTAACTCCCCCTTCACCGCTGCCAACTCCCCGTTCACCGTTCCCAACTCCCCCTTAACCGCTGCCAACCCGCCCTCCACTTCTGCCAATTCCCCCTTCACCAGCGCCAACTCCATCGCCCTCTCCTCCACAACACAAACAGCACTGTCCAACTCTCCAATCTTTCTCCTCCACTCCTCCACCTCGCCTCTCAATTCTATCACCTCTGCAATTCCTCTTCTCTCCGTCGCCTCCAGCTTCCTCCTCGTATCACCCAGCTCCGCACCAAGCACCTGCAATTTTATATCCATCGACTCTTTCAAGTTGTCGACTCCCAATAGCCGTCCCAAATTGATTTGAACCGCTTCACATGCTCGTTGCAGTTTGATACTGGCGGTAGATACACAGAGGACATGCGAATGCCACAGACGAGCACCCAAGCTACTGCTACAACTATGAAGTGCCTGTTTCAACTAGCGATGACCAAATCAGAGTAATAATTATATAAAGAAATTGCAAGAAGCAGCACCTACGTGAAGCAAGTTTATAACTGTGACAGCAAACGGGCAGTGAGGGTGCAACTCACACCGCTATGTGACAAATTGGGAAGATACTGGCATCCTGGAGTATGAGGCACGGAAATCAGGAGCATATGGGCAGGTTTTGGCAGTAGTGTGAGGCACTTTCAGATATGGTTGGGGGGAATTCGAGAAATTAAAAAACAAAGAAAGAAACAAAAAATTCACGGGGACCTGGACCAGAACTGTGGAGATGGCAATGCAGCAGTACGATTAAGGCAATCATGTAGCTTGCAGAACCTGCGGTGAGCTTTTGCTCTTTTGCAGTAGGGCATGCGCTTATGATGAAGCCAGTTGGGCACGGTACTCTAAAGGCAATCAATGTGGGAATAGGTCAAGAAGTTTTGAGGAAAGTGTTGACTGTTCGCTTAGAATGGCGAATGTAATAAAACTATTTGTAGCATGGCATACCATGAAAGCCGTAACTCCACTCCCTAGAGTGGAAAAAACATCCCTCGATGTCTGTGTCCATTGCTAACACTGCTGGCTAATCCATTGCTTGACGTGTGCTGGCGACACACCCATCCGCCAAAGTAGCGGCACGAGACTGGCAAGTGCAATGTACACCTTATAGACCTGCATTGGCAAGGCAATGAGAGGCGTGCATGGTGAACGACCCGTGCATGGTTATAATCCTAGAATAACAAAAGAAAGAATCCAGAGAGCTTTCATTCCTAATAAAAATATCCCCCCCATCCCCCCTCCCCAAAAAAGCACTCACCCAGTTACAGAAAAGGCCATTAGTCATCTTCATAGGCTTGGGAGGTAGAAAGGCATCGACGTGGGGCAAAACAAAGCCTTCAAAACAGTCGGCAACAGAATTGCACTGAAAGGGCTGACAGCAGGCACATGGATGCATGAATGGAACAAACACCATAGATGAGAAGTGCGAGCCAAACCAAAAAGAAGTTTATCACCTCTGGTTGAAAGAATGTCTTATTGGGCTTACATGAGGAGCGGCTGACAGAGGAGGCATGAGAGGGTGGTTCACTTGCAGGCTGCCAACGACATGTGGAGGCTGCAAGATGCAAGATGGAGAGCACATGCACACGCATCATGTGATGGAGCATGCTTGAATTGCACATGTGCTGATATGAATGGACCAAGTACATTAAACTACAGCAGAGGATTCGAGACAAAAAAGCAACACAAGTGCATCGCTTAGTACCACGTGCTCATGGTTTGATTCAGCTTACATACATTCGCAGCGTGGAAGATGGTGTACAAAATAGATTGTCCAAGTGGCAAAAATATGAAACTGGTGGCAGCAGTGACAATCACAGCGACTAGCAGCCCTTTCACAAGGGACAACATTCTCCCATCCACAGCCAGTTCAATCAGTTTCGTTGCCAGGGGAGCCATCAAGCCTTGATAAGCTGGCGAACCCCTGATGATTGAAGGGGCAGCAGTTGCAAGAGCGAGTCTAAGGAATGATGTGTTCGTTTAACATGAAATGGAAAGATCAGAGAAGAATGCTCCTTTGATGCGGATGACGAGGGTCGAGACATGGGCCACTTGCGAGAGGTAAGAGAAGACGGGAGAGACCATAATGGTAGCTAGGTGAGATAGAATGAGACAGAATGAGAGATACGAGTCACTGCCAAGAAACAAGGAACATTACGAGTAGCAGCAGAAACGAATGATGGGATCGTGATTCAGGATGGGGCCTACAGAACCGTGGCTGGACGGTGACAACATGGCAGCCAAGCGTTACATGATACCTTACTGTCGGATTGTCCAATTGCGAAAGGGGACAATCTCGCTTCAGAGGCGAAAAGCGAAATTGCATAATTGGAGCGAGATAGGAGTGGCGGCAAGAAATGTGCAAAGCGGCGGAATGGACGCTTGGTTGAGCAAGAAAATTGTGTCAAGCAAGAAGCCAAGGGTAGAGGAAAAGAAAGCAGTCGCACACAGTTTGGTGCAGTAGGCGGCAGCTGAGGGACGCGTCCAGGGGAAATTAAGCATGTGGAGAGCCATACCTTGTACCTTTTGAGTACCAACCACAGGACAAGCGAAGGAGGAGGGGTCAGGGAGAGAATCTGCGAGCACCAGAGCGCGAATTTTGCATCGACTTAAAAGTCACCAGGGTGAGGATATGTGAGAAGCAAAGCACCACAAGAAAATCAATGCGTTCCACATGACATGCTAATCGAGCCTTACCTTGTCCTTAGGTTTCTCAAGCTGGAGTGATTTTGAGGGCCTCATAAATCTTCTCAAGCTAGAATGCGTGGTGCCACCACGTGAGCCTCCGACACTTTGCTGGGGCTGTAGGGCCGAGACTGGCGAGGCGAGGACACTTTGCTGAACAAACTACTACCTCCTCTCGTCAACCGAGGGATTGCAGCCTCAGTTGCTCAGTTGCTCGGCTTAGAGCCGAAGCGAATTCATTCTGCTGCCAACCGTGATGTTCGTTCCGTCTGAGTAACTGAGCAAGATGAACTCAGAGGGAACGGACGTGACGGTTGGCATCAAAACAAAGTCGCCTCGGCTCGCAGCAGGGTGAGTCAACCGATTGCGGAGGCTCTATAATTTTCGGCAACATCGACGAGATGTTTCAACTGCCAACTGCATCCATGCCAAACCTTACAGAGTAACGAGGATTTGTGTGGGCCATACGAGTCGATGTGAGTGAGGTTCAACGGGGGGAAAGGCTGGGTGAGCTGAGCTGCCGGCGCAGCGGAACAGAAATGCTGTAAGGGTGCACAGCTGTCACCATCATCCATCGAACAGCTGTAAGGGTGAACAGAATTTCTCCATCGACCATTGGTGGATGATCATGGTTCTGTATGCTTCCCGGCTGCGGGAAGCATAGATCGTCCATAGTAGCAGCTGTCAGAAGTAGTAGGAGTACGGCCTAGGCTTAGTAGCCTAGGCCACACTAGGACTAGTAAGGAGGAGCCAAGTACGAGCTAGGAATGTCTGTAGGAACAGAATTGAGAAGGAATGATTGAACTAGCAAGCAGGAGGATACAAATAGCAAACCCTAAGGGGCTGTACTCACTATAGAGTACCCCACTGCAGGCTACACAAACAACATATTCTGACACACCCCCATAGCCAAAGTGGGGTGTAATCAGCACAATGAGCAGTCATAGCAATAGTTCATAATTATCAGCAAAGCTAGAGGCTATCACAGAGGGCAAGTGAGGAGGAGGAGGGACTATGAAAGGAGAGAAGATGGGAGGCGACGACTGAAGCTGCAGACACACGGGCAATAGAAGCGGCTGACACAGTGGCGGCTGACACAGTGGCTACCGAGACAGAGCGCCCCGGAATACTGGAGTAACTGGCTCTGCGGCTACGACGAGCGGCAGAAGCAACGGACCCACGGGCGACTGGTGCAGCAGGCTCTCAGTGGCTACCGAGACAGTGCGTCCCGGAATACAGGAGTAACAGGCTCTGCGGCTGCGACGAGCGGCAGGAGCAACGGACCCACGGGCAACAGGTGCAGCAGGCTCTCTGAGCTACCAGGACAGTGCGCCCCGGACTACAGGTGCTGCGGACGACAAGACAGCAGCCTCCACTCAACCTCCCCCAACAGTCCCACACCCCTCTCACACACCCCCTGCTTCACCCCTAGCTCCACTCCCACATCACCCCCCTAGTGCCACTCCCCACGACTCCCACACCTCCACCCCCCTCAGCGGCAGCTGCAGTAGTGGGAGACGAAAAAGGAGGAGGGGAGAACCCACACCACTCACCCCCATGCTCGCCACCCCACACCCCAGCCACCGCAGAACGCACGGTGGAATGGGAGCAATGGGCAGAACGGGGGGGGGGGGGACGGGGCGGGCTTCTGCAGAGGCGGCTCGCGCGGGTCCTGGGGCGGCTGCTGCAGGTGCGGGCTGCTCTAGGGGCGGCTGCTGCAGGTGCGGGCTGCTCCAGGGGCGGCTGCTGCAGGTGCGGGCTGCTCCAGGGGCGGCTGCTGTAGGTGCGGGCTGCTCCAGGGGCGGCTGCTGCAGGTGCGGGCTGCTCCAGGGGCGGCTGCTGCAGTGGCGGGCGGCTCCAGGGGCTGCTGCTGCAGTGGCGGGCGGCTCCAAGGGCTGCTGCTGCAGTGGCGGGCGGCTCCAGGGGCGGCCGCCGCAGTTGAAAGGCAGAAGGGGGGGGGGGGGGGGGAAACGCACGGCCCTCAGGGCGCCCCGAGGGGCGACGAGAAGGGAGCCGCGCGCCCCCCCCCCCCCCCGGGGCGCCGCGACGGGCACCAGGGAGGGCGCCGCGACGAGCCCCCAGAGCCGCCTCGACGGGCGACGGGGAGGGTGCCGCGCGGGCCCCCCGAAGTCGCCTCGACGGGCGACGGGGAGGGCGCCGCGCGGGCCCCCCGAAGTCGCCTCGACGGGCGACGGGGAGGGCCGCGCACGGCCCCCGAAGTCGCCTCGACGGGCGACGGGAGGGGACCGCGCGCTGCCCCCGTGGTCGCCACGACGGGCGACTGGTGGGGAGGCCGCGCGGGCCCCCAAGGTCGCCTCGACGGGCGACGGGAGGGGAGGCCGCGCGGGTCCCCGAGGTCGCCTCGACGGGCGACGGGAGGGGAGGCCGCGCGGGTCCCCGAGAGCGCCTCGACGGGCGCTTCGACGGGAGGGGACCGCGGAGGCCCCCCCAAGGGCACCACGACGGGCGCCACGGAAGGGAAAACCGCCAGGCGCCCCGAGCGCGCGGCGGGCAGAAATTAGGGTTTCGCCGCCGCGCACCACGGGGCGCGCGGCGGACAGTACGGCAGCGGAAGCGGGTGGTGGGCCCATACTCAGGAAGGCGGCAGACATGCCGCCCTCTGATACCATGTCAGAAGTAGTAGGAGTACGGCCTAGGCTTAGTAGCCTAGGCCACAGTAGGACTAGTAAGGAGGAGCCAAGTACGAGCTAGGAATGTCTGTAGGAACAGAATTGAGAAGGAATGATTGAACTAGCAAGCAGCAGGATACAAATAGCAAACCCTAAGGGGCTGTACTCACTATAGAGTACCCCACTGCAGGCTACACAAACAACATATTCTGACAGCAGCGTCGCATGTTGGGGCCTTTTTTAGGCAGAATCATTGAGCCGTGCACGTTGCGTCGTGCCCCCGAGGCTCGCTACCACTCTCGTTCGTCCGCACATCTGCGCGTGAAAAGGAGAGACGCGTGCATCGCCAGGTGGCAATATCAGTGCCACTCTTCGACCGCAGTACCTAGTCTCACCCGCACCTTCCTCCTACATTCAGATCTCGGTATGGTCTCTTTCGATGTTTTGCCTTGTTCTTTGCTTCATCGGGAAGGTACCACTCTTCGTTCTACCCGAGTTTCGGCTCGGCGGCACCTCGGAAGCGTCAAACCCTTGCCTACTCACGCTTCAGTCTGCTGAGAAGTCTTGCCTGCTTCCGCCTTTTCAACTTAAAATATGAACACGCAATTCGTAAGGCTGGATGAAAGGACCACTGATTCAAAACAGCCGCTATTACTAGTGCTACTTGTCTTTGCGAAGAAATCTGCTATAATACTCTAGGACCTTGCCTCGCAAGTGATCAGGGAACGCAAGATACGCTGCATAGTAGCGGGCAAGACATGAACTCGCGTGCACGGACACACGAACTCCAGGTTTCTCCAGCTAAGGTGGGGAGAAGTCGTGGTGAGAAGCTCTGAGGTCATCGTTAAACTTTCACGCCTGTAGTTCAACTTCACCCCTGGTTTGATCGTTTCTATTCTCCATGCCCCCTGCAGTTAATAAATGGTATGGATTCTGTGCCTGAACTTCGCGCTTGCACTGCCTGTCGCACGCTAATCCTCCATGGCGGAGGATGCAACATGGTGACCTGCACATGCGGTGTCACGTTCTGCTTTGTCTGCCTCCAACTCTTCGAGGAGCACAAGTTCACAACCTGTGCGCTTGCACCGCGCCAGCGATAAGCCTCGCGCCGATGTGTCCCCCATTCAGTGAGATGGTCAAACTCTACTCCCTAGTTATGGTACACTCAACCGTACATTAAGGGCTTATCGGCAGTCAGTATATTAGCATTTAGTAGACTTGTTCAGGGTTTAGGCTTGAATATTGAAATCCACTTTCTGTCTTCAATGAATGAAAAATAACTGAAATTTAAGTGGAGGAATTCATGAGCTTATCGTTTTTTCATAAGACAAACACTGTTTTTCTCTTTGACAAAATCTATAAGAACCTATTTTGCATTTCAGTAAACTGTATACTGTAACGGTGCTGAGTGTCCAACTGCATATTGCATCAGTGCTCACCATCAGCCTGACCAATCACCAGCTCCGCATCGCCGTTGCTTTCCCCCGCCACTCGCGCCATCATGGCTTTCGCGCCCACCTTCCACCTGCCCGTCAGCGCCTCCCTTCTCGCGCCATCCCGCACGTCTCCCCCGCGCGCCGCCATCCCGGGCGCAAGCTACCGTCGCTGCAGTCCCGCCATTCGCCGTTCGTCTGTTTCGCGATCTCCTCCCGTCGCCAGCTATGCTGCAAAGAGCGTTTTTGCTACAGGAGGTGACGCCGCGTTGCCAATGGTAGTGCGACGAGGAGCAGCCGGTGCGACGAGACACTCCGCCGTCGCGGCGGCGGGGGATGCGGCGAGCCTGCCCGAGGCGCTGCTGTTCGACTGCGACGGCGTGCTGGTGGACACGGAGAGGGACGGCCACCGCGTGTCGTTCAACCAGGCGTTCGAGGAGGTGAGAGGGAGTGTGAGGGGGAGAGATGCATGTGCTGACTGTGACTATGGGGAGGTTGCAGGGGAGAATGGGAGCGGGGTCATAAGAGTGTTGTGTGTGACGGCGTGGTTGACACGGTTTGGAACGGCCACCGCGTGTCGTTCAGCCAGGCGTTTGCGGAGGTGGGGGGGGTTGCATGGGAGGAGGGGAGTGGGGAGATACGTGTGCTGTTTAACCAGCCTTGTGAGGAAGTTGGGAGGGTGAGTGCGGGGCTTAAGTGGGCAGGATGTGTAGACACTTGGTCCCTATCAGACAGGCCCTTGATTCGATGCGGGGAGACAGTGGTAGTGACGCTGAGACTGCTGAAAGGGTTGACAGGGAGAATGACACGGCTGACAGGGATGACACGCCTGACAGGGATGACATGGCTGACAGGGATGAAACGCTTGACAGGGATGACATGGCTGACAGGGATGACACGGCTGACAGGGAGGATGACACGTCTGACACGGAGGATGACACGTCTGACAGGGAGGATGACACACCTGTGGCCGAGAGAGATGACACGGGTGGGGACGTGCCTCTCTGTGACACGGAAACTTGCTTCAGGCAGCACCGACCTACCAGCTCTTCCCTCGTCCCCTCTCCCCTGCCACACTCCCTCGCTCCTGCAGAAAGGGTTGGGAGTGACGTGGGACGTGCCTCTCTATGGCCAGCTGATCAAGATTGCACTGACCAACGACCCCTCTCCTCATTCTCTCTCCCCTATCCCCTGCTGCTGTGCTCTGCCACACTCGCACCTTGTCGCAGAAAGGGTTGGGAGTGACGTGGGACGTGCCTCTCTGTGGCCAGCAGCCAGCTGATCAAGATTGTACCGACCAACGCCCCCCCCTTCTTCCTCTCTCCCCTATCCCATGCTGATGTGCTGTACTGCACTCGCTCTCCACTTCCCTCTTGTCGCAGAAAGGGCTGGCAGTGGCGTGGGACGTGCCTCTGTATGGCGAGCTGCTCAACGTTGCACCAACCAACGCCCCCTCCCCTCAGTCTCTCTCCCCTCTCCCGTGCTGCTGTGCTGTGCTGCACTCGCCCCCTGTCGCAGAAAGGGCTGGGAGTGACGTGGCGAAACTATGGTGAGCTGTTCAACGCTGACCAACCGCCCCTCTCCTCGTCGTCCCTCCCCTCTCCCATGCTGATGTGCCCTGCTCTGCTGTCCTGTACTCACTCACTCGCTCGCAGAAAGGGCTGGCAGTGACATGGAACGTGCCGCTGCTCAAGATCGTACCGACCAACTCCCCCTCTCCGCTTCCTCTTTCCCCTCTCCCACGCTGCTCTGCTCTGCTGTGGTGTGCTGTGCTGCAATGGCTCATGCTCGCAGAAAGGGCTGGGAATCACGTGGGACGTGCCTCTCTATGGCGAGCTGCTCAAGATCGGAGGCGGCAAGGAGCGATAGTTTTTTAGCTCCCCGCATTTCATCACACTGCATCGCATTGCATGACATTGCATCACCTCTCATGTTCTCTCTTGTAAGTGACTGTACACAAGGCACCAGATAATCTTGTGTGAGATTGCACTCGATGCACCCATTCTTGTGTGAGATTGCACCCAAACCTAGTAACCATTCTTCCGTAGTCGACCTCTGCCTACCCTTCGCTTCTTGAATGCACTGATTGTGTCACCTACTGATTGTGTCACTCACTGATTGTGTCACCTACTGATTGTGTCACTCACTGATTGTGTCACCCACTGATTTTGTCACTCACTGATTGTGTCACTCACTGATTGTGTCACCCACTGATTGTGTCACTCACTGATTGTGTCACTCACTGATTGTGTCACCCACTGATTGTGTCACTCACTGATTGTCACCTACTGATTGTGTCACCCACTGATTGTGTCACTCACTGATTGTGTCACTCACTGATTGTGTCACCCACTGATTGTGTCACTCACTGATTGTGTTACTCACTGATTGTGTCACTCACTGATTGTGTCTCCCATTGATTGTGTCACTCACTGATTTTTACACCCACTGATTGTGTCACCCACTGATTGTGTCACTCACTGATTGTGTCACCCACTGATAAGGGTGTAAATACGAATACAGTTTTGAATACGGCCTCTGATACGAATCTTTTATGAGTAATAGCCAATTTCGTGTCAGCCAAATAGCCCTCGTCTACCGAATCCGAATACTGTTCGAATAACTGATTTTGTGTCGAATACGAAGACGAATACAGTTTTCGCCATACATACACTTTGGGCCATGGTTCGTAATACGCCGTGAGCACCGCCCGGTGCTTTCATTGCTGATGATACGATCGAAACAGAAGAAACGCACCTTTGGAAATCTAGGGGTATACAGATAAGGGTGGTTGAATACTAATACAAATATCCGAATAACCGGCTGCCGAATACCGAATAAGTCTAATAGTCATAACCGAATATGCGTCGAATAGTCAGTGGTGTTCGTTTCGTTTTTTTTTTTTTTTATTCGTCGAATACCGCAATACGAATATGAATATGTCGGTATTCGACTGCACCCTTACCTACCGATGTGTCTGTGAAAAGCGTAACGACAGGAAATGTTACACAGTAGCGAGTCATTGTCAGCAAGATTTGCATATGACACGTATTTATACCAGGGGGGCCCCACCCCATAGAGAGCTCAACTTCTGAAGCGCCTCGATAGTCCACAAAGAGCGCTCCTCACACCTGCTTTTTGAGCTCCGACATCTTCTTTAGGCCACACTCGCCACCCTCCCACACCCCACTGGCTACCCTGCCCGTTCCCATCCACTCCTCTCAATTCCTTCGAGCCTCCTGTCAGATGGATAACTAGCGGGCGCGGCACATACATGGAGCGACGTATAAAAAGTTTCAGATTCCTGATTTTCTCCCCTATCCCCCCCCCCCCCCGTACCACCTTTCCTTCCCACCCCTTTCCATCCACACCTCCCTATGGACCAGAGCAATAGTGGCCGCCTTATGGACGCACTCCTTCCTTGTCTTCTATCAGTGTAGCTCTATACCCTCACAACTCCCTTGTACTGCTCCCAACCGTCTTGCTCTCCTAACTGTATGCACAGCTCTCTTAGAGTCATTTTTTTACTAATCTCAAAAATGACTCTAACGCAGCTCCCAACCCCCCCCATCAGCTGCCGTCAATAGACATATCAGTGGTGGGCGTCATTCTATGGGACACCATGGAGGGCCCCCTTTCTCACCCTCTCTCACTGTGTCCCCATCAACCTTTCTGAACTGCACCTAACCGTCTTGCCCCTCCCTATCAACCGCTGGCAGCAGACGCATCAGTCGTGGGGGTCCCTCTCTGGGACGCCATGGAGCCCTCCCCTCACCCTGTCCCTGTGTCCCCTACCCATCAACCCCTCTTAACCACACTCAACCGTTTTTGTCCCTCCCCATCAGTTGCTATCAGCAGACGAGTCAGTGGCGGATATCACTCTGTGGGATGTTGTGGAGAGGGCCGCCCAGCCCTTCCCCTCAGTTCCTGCGCCCTCTTTAGCCGCAATCACAGGTGCGCTGCCTTCTGTGCGCTGCCTGCTGTGCGTTTCTGTGCTTGTTTTGTGAGTTTTGAAATCAACATCTTCCACCCAAGGCAGTCACTAGTCATTCCTCCCCCATTATTCCTGCATGTATTCCTCCCCGCTGTGTGGCAACAGGCGGCTGACAGCAGTAGCGAATGGCCCAACAACGTGGGCGGGAGGGTGTGCATCGTGTCCGGGCTGGCAGGCATTGAGATCATGGACCTGGTGGAGATCATCAGCAGCCTGGGTATGGCCAGTGAGGGTGTTGGTGAGAGATGAGAGAGGAGGTGCAGGTGAGAGGGTCTTAGTTGAAATCATGGACTTAGTTGAAATCATCAGCAGCCTGGGTATGTCCAGTGAGGGTGTTGGTGACTGGTGTGCACTGTGGGCTGTCGGGCATTGAGATCATGGACCTGGTGGAGATCATCAGCAGCCTGGGTGTGCTCTCATGGCAGGCAGTGAGGGCTGGCAGGCAGTGAGGGCTGGCAGGCAGTGAGGGCTGGCAGGCAGTGAGGGCTGGCAGGCAGTGAGATCATGGACCTGGTTGCGATCATTAGCAGCCTGGGTGTGCTCTCATGTCTGCTCTCTCTTTTGCTCCAATGTCTGCTCTAATGTCGGGAGAGGGGAGGTGCCTGCCAGTGAGAGGGTGTTAGCATTAAAATCATGGACCTGTTTTCCTTGAACGGGAGAGGGAGTGTGGGTGAGAGTGTGTTATTCTTGGGATCACGAGCACCCCTGGGTATGGTCAATGGACCAGTGAGTTGTGTGCATCGTGTGAGGGCTCGCAGGCATTGAGGGTTGGCAGGCATTGGATCTGGTCAAATTTTTTAACCAGTCAAATGTGACTCTTTTTTTCCCATCTTTCTGATCATCACTTCTTTCCTGCCCTTCCCCCCTCTTCCCCCCTCCGATTGCACACTCATCAATAACACACACACACACACACACACACACACACACACACACACACACATACACACACACACACACACACACACATACACAGGCATGCAACACTTCCAACCACCCCCCCCCCCCCTCCCCCCCCCTGCCCCCACACCCCTCCCCCCCTCCTTTATGGTGTATGCCCCTCATGCTGCTTCAACTCAGCAGCAGCACCCACTCGCAACTGTTTGCACCTCTACACTCACTTCCATTCTACTCCGCGCCATTTATGCGCAGCTCTGCCGCATGTGCAAAGGACGAGGTGGTTGAGCTTGTGAACACCTTTTCCCGTCACTCCTGTCCTCTATGCCCCCTGCCCCCCCAGACATACCCCCCATGGTGTATGCAGCCATGGTGTCCAAGTCGGCAGCCAGGCCGGTGAGGGAGGTGGTGGAGGATCTAGTGGCTGACCACCGCCTGCTGTACAGCCAGTCAGAATGAACGGGTGGGGGGGAGGAGGGGGCCGGGGGAGGGGGGATGTGAATGAATGGCTGAACCATCGTGCACTGAGCACCGAGGTGAGGGAGGTGGTGGAGGATCTCGTGGCGGACCACCGCCTGCTGTACAGCCAGTCGGAGTGAAGTGCACCGTCAGTCCGCCTGACTGAGTGGGAAAATGGTCGAAAAACATAGGGTAGCTTGTGAGTCGACTGAAAAGGTGGTGGAGGATCTGGTGGCGGACCACCGCCTGCTGTACAGCCAGTCGGAGTGAAGTGCTCAGCCAGTCCGACTGACTTGAGGGGATGAAAGCCTAGACCAAAGTCGCCAAGCTGAGCCAAAATTTGAGTCGGCCGTGCACTGAGCAGAGTTGAGGGAGGCGGTGGAGGATCTGGTAGCGGATCACCGCCTGCTGCACAGCCAGTCCGACTGAGCTGGTCAGACTGAGGCAGTCGGACTGACCGTGTGAATGCTGGAAACAGTGTCAGTACTGTAGCTTGTGCTAAGTTGCATATGTAGTGTTAGAAGATTTACTTAACACAAGGTGTTCTCGAATTTCTGGGCCGCTTTGTGATTGTGACATCCAACCGATGTATTAATGGAAGCACTCTTAACAAACATCCAACAGCAAAGAAAACAGGTAGGTATACCCTGGTGCTGGGATTGGAGGCTTCTTATGCAGCGTACAGCTTTGGCAAAGGCACACAGTTCTCCATAGTCGACTGTAACCCCAGCTGGCAAAGGAGACTCCCTGGGACTTACTTTCATATTCACTATACAACGTACAGCTACCCTCGCTTCCCACCCACGTCATTCGCGTAGCTGTGCGCACAATCCTCCATAGTCAACTGTAGCCCCAGCTGGCAACACCAGAACCTGCAGGTTGGTGAGGGCGGTCAAGTGGAGCAGCCCATCCGTAGTAACACCGGTGCCAGCCAGACCAAGCTCGTCAAGGCCTGTCAGCCTCCCCACATGCACCATGCCAGCATTCGTCACACCCTTGCAGTTGTCAAGCCACACACTCTTGAGAGTTGCAAGAGCTGTCAAGCGCTGCAGGCCAGTGTCTGACACTCTGGTGGAGACGAGAGACAGGTACTCAAGACTGCTCGCCGCCCCAATGCCTTCCAGGGCAGCATCTGAAACGGATGTGTTCCTCAGATCTAACTCTGCGAGCCGTGGCAGGCAGAAGAGATAGCTGATGCCCTCTGCAGTGAAGCCCGAGGAGCCGTCCATGTCAATGCTCTTGAGGTGGGTCATTGTGGACACGTGGCCGAGGATGGCGTCTGAGATGCACGCGAGTCTCCCAAGGTTCAGGTCCATCTCATGTGCTGCTGACAGGATTCTCTGCAGGATGAAATGACAAAGGAAAGGAAGACATTACTTGAACACCGTAGTTTCCAGCCAAGCGTGAATCTGAATACATGTTGACGGTATCCTGTTCAGCAGCGTCCACAGAAGACCGGTCCAATAGATATTACAGGGCAGCCACTGCATCTTGTTCTATATCCCGATTCAAGTACAGCTCACCTGCCATGTCTCCTTTTGGGCGCCGTTACTCTTCCTCACTTCCTTCTCAACATCCACTTCAATTCTGCCCTGAACCAAAGCCCTTCGCCACGATATCAACACCTCCAGTTCTCCGCACGCTGCTGCCAGCTCCCTCTCCCTCACTTCCACCCGTCCGCTCAACTCCTGATACTCTGCTGCTCTCATTCGCTCAGCCTCCTCCAACAGCCCTCTGAGCTCTCTCATATCAGCTGCTCTACTCCTCTCCGCCTCTTTCACTTCATGCCTTGTCTCTTCCAAGTGCATACTAAGAATCCTGGTCCGGCCTTTGTGTTCAGCCAACTCCCGCTTCACCGCTGCCAACCCCCCTTTCACCGCTGCCAACTCCCCCTTCACCGCTCCCAACTCCCCCTTCACCGCTCCCAACTCCCCCTTCACCGCTTCCATTCCATCTCCCCCTTCACTTCTGCCAAATCCCCCTTCACCACTGCCAACTCCCTCTCCCTCTCCTCCACCACACAAACAGCACTGTCCAACTCTCCAGTCTCTCTCCTCCACTCCTCCACCTCTCCCTTCAATTCCATCACCTCTGCAATTCCTGCCTCCAGTTGTCTCGTCGTATCACCCAGCTGTGCACCAAGCGCCTGCAATTTCATATCCATCGACACTTTCAACTTGTCAACTCCCAATAGCCGTCCCAAATTGATTTCAACCGCTCCACATGCTCGTTGCAGTTTGATACTGGAGATCAAGGCGGGTCAGAGAGGATAAAAACGTGTACAAAAGGGTATACTGCCAGCAGGCAAACGGAAAGGTATACTGCATGTACGTGGAAACATGACCGGCAGGCAAATGGACACATGAATGCCATGATGATATGGCTGAAGGGTGTGATGCCAGCAAACGGGCAGTGAGGTTGTGCAACTCACATCGCTGTGTGACAAATTGGGGAGATTCTGGCTTTCTGGAGCATGGGGCAGGGAAATCAGGAGTATAACGGCAGGTTTTGGCAGCAGTGTGAGAGCACTTTCAGACACGGTTGGGGGGGGGGGGGGGGGGGGGGGGGGGATCAGAAACATTTCAATATTGCTCCGAGGGGACCCGAACCGGGACAGTGGAAATGACAAAACAGTAGTACGATAGAGGGGATCATGTAATGTAACTTGCAGAACCTTTTGGCGAGCTTTTGCTCTTTTCACGCGTTTATGACAAAGCCAGTTGGGCAAGGTGCTCTCTAAAGGCAATCACTGGGAGAAAAGGTTGAGCATAATTTTAGAGAGTTTGGACTGTTCGATGGCGAATCAAAGGAAATAATTTGCGGCCTGACATACCATGAAAAACGTAACTGCACTCCCTAGAGTGGAAAAACTAGCCCTCGAGGCCAAGCACTGCTGGCCGATCCATTGCTTGACGTATCCTGGCGACACACCTATCCACCACAGCAGCGGCACGAGACTGGCAAGTGCCATGTACACTTTACAGACCTGCGATGGCAAGGCAATGGGAGGCGTGCATGGTGAACGACCCACGGCTGGTTATTATCCAAGAACGCGAAAGTAAGAATCCTGATAGCTTTTATACCTAACAAAAAGACCCCCCGTCCCAAAATGCACTCACCAGGTCACAAAATAGGCCAGTAGTCATCTTCGTAGCCTTGGGAGGTAGAAAGGTATCGATGTGGGGCACAACAGAACCTTCAAAATAGTTGGCAACATCATTGCACTGAAAGGGCTGACAGCGGGCACATGGATGTATGAATGGAACAAACAAAAGGGTCGAAAGTGCCCCTCAGCACCATAGATGAGAAGTAAGAGCTGGATTTGAAAAACATTATAACACCTAGTTGAAAGAACGCGTTATTGGGCTTACATGAGGGGCGGCTGACAGGGAAAGCATGCGAGGGTGGTTCATTTGCAGGCTTCCAAAGACATACGGGAGCTGCAAGATGCACGATGGGAGAGCACATGCACACGCATCATGTGATGGAGCATGCTTGCACATTTGCTGATATGTAAGGACCACGCGGTAAAGTACAGACTACAGCAGAGGATTTGAGACGAAAAGCAACACAAGTGCATCGCTTAGTTAGTACCACGTGCTCGTGGTTTGATTTAGGCTACATACATTCGCAACGTGGAAGATGGTGTCCAGAATAAATTGTCCAAGTGGCAAAAATATGAATCTGATGGCAGCAGTGACAATCACAGCGACTAGCACCCCTTTCACAAGGAACAGCATTCTCTTATCCACAGCCAGTTTAATCAGTTGCGTTGGCGGGGTAGCCATCAAGACTTGATCAGCTGGCGAATCCCTAATAATGGAAGGGGGAGCAGATGCAAGAGTGAGTCTTGAGAATGATGCGTGCATTTAACACAAGATGGAAATATCAGGGAAGAATGCTCCTTAAATGAAGAGACAGGGAGGATGGCGAGGGTCGAGACAGTGGCGACTTGCAAGGGGTAAGTTAAGACTGGAGAGACTGTAACGGTAGCTGGAAATGAAGCAGGATGAGGTAGAGCAAGGAAGTGTTAAGACAGAATGAGAGATATGAGTCAGTGCCAAGAAACAAGGAACATCGCGAGTAGCGGCAGAAAGAAATATAGGGATCCTGTTTCAGAATCGGCCCCACACAATCATGGCTGGACGGTGACGACAACATGGCAGCCAATCATTACATGATGCCTTACTACTGGGCAGCTCTTGGATTGCCCAATTGCGAAAGGGGACAGTCTCGCTTCAAGGGCGAAAAGCGCAACTGCATGATTGGAGTGAGAGGCAGAAGTGATGGCAAGGAACAGCACAAAGCAGGGGAACGGAAGGTTGGTTGAGCAAGAAGACCGTCAATAAAGAAGCCACGAGCAGAGGAAAAGCAAGCAGTAGCACGAAGCTTCAAGTAGTGGGCGGCAACTGCGGAACGCGTCCAAATGAGATCAAGCATGTAGAGTAGAGAGAGACCCGCACCTTGTGAGCACCAACCAGACGTCGGGCGAAGGAGGAGGCGCCGGGGAGAGGATCTTCTAGCACCAGAGGCCACAAGACAATCAGCGCTTTCCAAGTGACATGACAATCGAGCCTTACCTTGCCCTTAGGTTTCTCAAGTTGGAGGGGCCTCTGAAATCTTCTCTCAAGTGAAAATGCGTGGTGCCGCCAAAAGAGCCTCCGGCACACTTGCTGGGGATGTACTAGGGCTGAGATTGGCGAGGCGAGGACACACTGGCGAAAAAGCTACTGCTTCGTCTCGTCAACTGAGGGACTGCAGCCTCAGTTTCTCAGATAGTAACTGAGCAAAATGAACTGAGAGGGAACGGTTGGCAATAGAACGAACTCGCCTCGGCTCGCAGCAGGGTAAGTCAACCGATTGAGGAGGCGCGGTGATTTCCGGCAGCGGCGGCGAGCAGCTGGCGCGGCGCAAACAACAGAGCTGTAAGGTTGCACAGATGTCACCATCATCCGAGAATTTCCCATCGGCTGCCATGAGAACCTCAAGCACCATCGATGCATGCCATGAGAGCTGTAAGGGTGCTCTGCAAGCTTCCCTTGCTGTGCAAGGCATTCATCGTCCATAGTCGCCGTGTGTTGGGGCCTTTCAAGGTAGAAACATTAAGCCGTGCACGTTGCATCGTACTGCTTTCGAGGCTCGCTACCACTCTCGTTCGTCCGCCCAGCTGCGCGTGAAAGGAGAGACGCCGCGCGCACCGCCACGTGGCGAAATCAGTGTTGTCACCTCACCGTCGACCGCCGCACCTGGTACCTAGTCTTACCCGCACCTTTCTCCTACTCAGATCATCGCATCTTGATCTCTCGTTCAATGTTTCGCCTTGTTGCTTGTTGCATCGGGAAAGGTAGCAAAAACACTCTTCGTACTACCCGAGGTTCTACCTCGGGTAGCAGAGCGTGAGGCACGCAACCTTGCCTCACGCCTCAGAGCGCTGACATGAAAGGTCCGTTTGAGTGTTGACATGGCTTTGCCCGCTCCTGCTATTTCAACTTGCAATATGAATGGCACGCAATTAGTCCTGAAGACTGTCTAAGCCTGTACTTATCGTCTTTGCGAAGCCTCTGCAGGTTCCTTTCCCACGTACGTAATTAGCTAACGCAAGAGGACGACGCATAGCGGGCAAGAAATGAACTCGCGTGCACGGACATACGAACTCCAAATTTCTCCAGCCAAGGTGGGGAGAAAGTTGTGGAAGAGCTCTAGGCATCGTTGAACTTCATGCCTGTAATCGACGCCCCTGGCTTTGATCGTTTTCTCTTCTCCGTGCTTCGTGCAGTTAATAAATGGCAGGGAATCTGTGCCTATTCTTCGCGCTTGTATCGGCTGTCGCACGCTAATCAACGATGACGGAGGATGCAACATGGTGACCTGCACCTGCGGTGTTACGTTCTGCTTTGTCTGCCTCCAACTCTTCGAGGAACACAAGTTCACAACCTGTGAGCTTGCACCGCGCCAGCGATGAGCCTTGCTTGCTGTTCCCCATTCAGTCGGAAACTATACTCCTAGTTATGGTACACAGCCGTACAGAAAGGGCTTATCGGCAGTCACTATTACAGCACTTTGTTTAAAGTTTAGGCTTGAAAAAACTTTCTATCTTACATTGAAATGGGTGAAAGAAAAAATACATATCACTGAAATAAATCACAAATAAAAGGGGTTGCAGTTTTCTATTACAGTCGTTTGTTTTATGAAGGTCTATAATTCATTCCGTGTACTCATGCTTCTACAGCTCATGAAATTTACTGTAACGATGCTGAGCGCGCAGCTGCAGATTGTATCACTGCTTGGTGGTCACTATCAGCCTGCCTGACCAGTGACCAGCCCCGTTCGCATCGCCGTTTCTTTCCCCCGCGACGCCCCACTCGCGCCATCATGGCCCCCGCCACCGCCATTGCTCCCACGCTCGCCTTCCACCTCCCCTCCAGCGTCTCCCTTCCCGCGCCATCCTGCACGTCTTCCCCGCGCGCCGCCATCCCGGGCGCAAGCTACCGTCGCTGCAGTCCCGTCATTCGCCGTTCGTCTGTTTCGCGATCTCCTCCCGTCGCCAGCTATGCTGCAAAGAGCGTTTTCGCTACGGGAGGTGACGCCGCGTTGCCAATGGCAGTGCGACGAGGAGCAGCCGGTGCGACGAGACACTCCGTCGTCGCGGCGGCGGGGGCGGGGGATGCGGCGAGCCTCCCCGAGGCGCTGCTGTTCGACTGCGACGGCGTGCTGGTGGACACGGAGAGGGACGGCCACCGCGTGTCGTTCAACCAAGCTTTCGAGGAGGTGAGGGGACTGGGAGGAGCGCGCGTACCAGCTAGTATGTTCAACTGCTGGTGACTGTCGGTGGGTGACTTTTGGCTGCGACGGCGTGCTAGTGGACACGGAGAGGGACAGCCACCGCGTGTCGTTCAACCAGGCGTTTGAGGAGGTGAGGTGGCAGAGGGAAGGGGAAGGGGAGGGCGGAGGGTATGCGTGCTGTGTGGCTGTCGGTCGGCTGGTGCACACGGAGAGGGACGGCCACCGCGTGTCGTTCAACCAGGCGTTCGAGGAGGTGAGAGGGTTGCACAGGAGGAGGGGAGGGCATGGGAGGGGAGAGATATACGTGCTGTGTGTCTGTGGTCATTTGCTGGTGGACACAGAGAGGGGTGGCCACCGCGTGTCGTTCAACCAGGCGTTTGAAGAGGTGAGGTGGTGGCATGGGGGAGGGAGAGAGTAGGGGGAGGGGGAATGGGGAGATACGTGTGTTGCGTGACTGTCGGTCGGTTTTTGAGTCGACTCAAAAGTCACCTCGAGAGGGCAGGGGGAGGGGGAATGGGGAGATACGTGTGTTGTGTGACTGTCGGTCGGTGCTGGTGCACAGGGAGAGGATCGGCCACTGCGTGTCGTTCAACATCAACTAGGCGTTTGAAGAGGTGACGTGAGAGGGTTGCGCGGGACAAGAGGAGGGGAGGGAGGGGAAGGGGGAAATATGCGAGCTGTGTGTTTGTCGTTAAGTGCTGGTGGACGCAGAGAGGGATGGCCACCGCGAGTCGTTCAACCAGGCGTTTGAATGGGTGCGACTGTGTTACCAGCTAGCAAAACCACCCGATACTCCCTGGCGGTGAGCTGGCTGGTGACTAGGTTCGGCCCGTGCACATGGCTTGGAAATGCCATCGCTATGGCTAGCTAGCTGCTACTCACTCTCTCTTTCTGCTTCACCCCCCCTCGCCTGCAATGCCACGGGCGTACTCCACTCCACATGCACCACGAGCAGCACGAGCACCACCTGGGTCCTCTCATTCAAAACCTACACAATGTGCACTAGGCCCAGGAAATGGGAGCGAGCGGGCGTGAGCCGTTTGCTCCGTGGGGAGCTGCTCTCCGTCCGTGGGGAGCTGCTCTCCGTCCGTGGGGAGCTGCTCTCCGTCCGTGGGGAGCTGCTCTCTGTGGGGAGCTGCTCAGGCTTGACCAACTTCCAGCCAACCTATATCTCTCCTCATCCTCTATTCCCGCGATGTGGCACGATGCCCCTCATTCCAATCTCTTCCCTCGTGTCGCAGAAAGGGCTGGGAGTGACGTGGGACGTGCCGCTGTATGGGGAGCTGCTCAAGATCGGAGGCGGCAAGGAGCGGTACGCATTGCATTGCATTGCACTTCATGGTATTACATCACATCACATGTCGCTGCTTCGCCCCCAAAGCCGCTGGTGCTTGCTGGAATATGTCTAAAAGCCGCCCCCACCCCACCCCACCAATCTGTCGCAACAACCAGCCTTTCCTGGCTCCCTCCACATGAGCAAGACACCGCTCTTCAGTGCCTGCTTGCATCCCTCTCCTTCCACCCCCTTCCCTTCCCAGAATGACTCACTACTTCAATCAAGTGGGTTGGCCCCAGGCTGCCCCCACCGATACCGCAGAGAGAGCAGTCTTCGTGGCTGGGCTCCAGAAGAGCAAGGTAGCGCTCTTCACTGCCTTCTTGCATCCCTCTCTTCCCCCCTTTCTTCCATCTCACCCTCTCTTCCCTTCCCAGCATGACCCACTACTTCAATTAAGTGGGCTGGCCGCAAGCGGCCCCCACGGACCCCGCAGAGCGAGCAGCCTTCGTGGCTGGGCTCCACAAGAGGAAAACAGCACTCTTCATGGATCTCGTGGAGACGGGTGCACTGCCCCTGCGACCAGGCGTGGCACGGTGAGTCACGGTGACTGTGGGTGGATGTGGTTGCATGTGCTATGCAGGTGAGTGTTTCTGTGCACCTATGACTTGACTGTATGACTGTTCAAGTTGCTCCTCTTCATGCAGCTCGTGGACACGGGTGCACTGCCCCTGCGCTGCGACCCGGCGTCACACGGTAAGCTGTGGTGACTGTGGCTGTGTGGTTGTGCCTCTATGACTGTACGACTCTGTGGTTGTACAATCTGCTTCTCTTCATGGACACGGGTGCTCCGCCGCTGCAAGCAACCAGGTGTGGCACAATGAGTGTGATGTGATTGTATGTGCAGTGCAGAGACTGTGTGACTGTGTGAATTTACAAGGCGCTTCTCCTCATGCAGCTCATGAATGAAGGCTGGTGCTTCGCTGCTGCGATGATTGTGAGGGTCATATCATACCGGGCTGTGGAGCCCTCATAACTGTCCCTTACATATTGCACCTCATACCCCTGTAAGGGGCTCGGATGGTAACGTCGTGTCATGCCGGGCTGTGGAGCCCTCATAACCGTCCCTTACGTATTGCACCTCATACCCCTGTAAGCCAAAGCAGTGCGAGCAACCCCTCCCTCTCCCCTCTTCCTCCTCAGGCTGATCGATGAGGCACTGGTGGCGGGAGCGCGGGTGGCAGTGTGCAGCACATTCAATGAGAAGGCAGTGGGGGCGATTGTGCGGGTCATGCTGGGGAGGAGCCCTTACTTACTGCACCCCATACCATATCTCTTTAACCCCTGCTTTCTCCCATCCCATCCCCAACAGGCTGATCGATGAGGCTCTGGCAGCGGGAGTGCAGGTGGCGGTGTGCAGCACGTCAAATGAGAAGGCGGTGGGGGCGATTGTGAGAGTCATGCTGGGCGAGGAGAGGGCGCAGCACATGCGGATATTTGCAGGGGATGTTGTTCCGAAGAAGAAGCCCGACCCGGTGAGCAGAGTGCACACATGCTGCAGAGTGCACACATGCTGCAGAGTGCACACATGCAGCAGAGTGCACACATGCTGCAGAGTGCACACAGTCAGGCGCATCGTGTGTAGTGATGGGACTGGTGGGGAAGGGGGTGCAGACGGTGCAGCACATGCGGATAATCGTCGGAGATGTGGTGCCCAAGAAGAAACCCGACCCGGTGAGCAGAGCAGAGCAGAGCGCACACCGTCAGGTGTATCGTGTGTGTAGAAATGGATATCATTGTGCGGGTGGGCGAGGAGAGGGTGCAGCACATGCGGATGCTCTTCTTGGGATATCGTTCCCAAGAAGGCCCCACCCGCCCAGTGAGCAGAGTGCATTCAGCTGGATTGGATGGATTGTTGTATCCCAATGCTTCGAAAGGGAGTGGCGGATATCGTTGTATCCCAATGCTTCGAGTGACGGATTGGTGGGACTGGGCGAGGAGGGTGTGCAGCACAAGCGGACCTTGGTCAGGCCGGGGATGTCGTGCCGAGGAAGAAACCCGGCTCGGTGAGCACTGAGGGTGACGCCGGCGGGGAGGAGGGCGCAGCGCAACAAATGCGGACATTTACTGGGGATTCCGTTCGGAAGATGCTGGTCATTTGCTGGGGAACCTGACCTGGGGAACCTGACCTGGCCTGGGGAACCTGACGTGGGAAAACCACGACTTGGTAGATGCTTGGGGTTGGGAGGAGAGCAACATGCTGCTGGGGTGGGAGAGGTTGGGGGGGAGAGGTTGGGGGGGAGAGGTTGGGGGGGGAGAGGTTGGGGGGGAGAGGTTGGGGGGGAGAGGTTTGGGGGGGAGAGGTTGGGGGGGGAGAGGTTGTGGGGGGAGAGGTTGGGAGAGGAGAGGGCCAAACAAAGAGGGTAATCGGTGGGGCGAAGATAAGAGCCGTCCCGTGAGGGGGTTGCTAGGGGAAAGCCGGGCTGGGTGGGTAGAGGGGTATGGCGGGAGAGGAGGGTACCGAAACTCTGTCATGCTGCCATAAGTGACCAGGAGCACATAACTGCCATGCTTGCCATCCTCCCCGTGCTCCTGTTTCCCTTTACGCTCCTGCTCTTCTGCATCGACTCCCCATGGCAGGCCATCTACAAACTTGCTGCCACCAATCTCAATCCTCTCCATTCCATGCCCCACATTCCTGCACACTCCTCTTGCCCTTCATGCTCCTGTGGCCATGCATCAACCCCCTCTCCCCCCTTGGCAGGCCATCTACAACCTCGCCGCCACCACTCTCAACCTCAACCCTGCACGGTACGTGCTCCTTCTTCTGCTTCACCCTCGCTCTCTCTGCTTCGGGCTTGCCTCGTGCCTCTTGCCCCTCATGCTCCTCGTGCCTTGGGTCACATGCCACCACCCACCCACCCACCCAGCCAGAGTGACTCCATTCCATGGCACTCCATGTTTTTCGCACATCTCACATGCTATGTTGGCACATAGCATGCAGCGCCATGCCGTGCCACCACCTCTCATGCGCCATGCTGTGTGCGTGGTGATTCTGCACATGGCGATTGCCAGCAATCGCCATGCCACCACATCACACCTAATGTGCCACATCGGACACACTTGTGCCATGGCTTTAAGCCTCATATACCATGCCCGTTTTTGAGACGTCTCAAAAATCTACTTTCTACACGTGGCTTCTGCCAAGGCTTGAAGCCTCATATACCATGCCCATTTCTCATAAGCCATGTTACACCTCTCAAACCTTTCTCCTCTTCCCTGCTGGCAACTGTGTGGTCATAGAGGACAGTCACATCGGCCTGACGGCTGCCAAGGCTTGAAGCCTCATATACCATGCCCATTTCTCATAAGCCATGTTACACCTCTCAAACCTTTCTCCTCTTCCCTGCTGGCAGCTGTGTGGTCATAGAGGGCAGTCACATCGGCCTGACGGCTGCCAAGGCTTGAAGCCTCATATACCATGCCCATTTCTCATAAGCCATGTTACACCTCTCAAACCTTTCTCCTCTTCCCTGCTGGCAGCTGTGTGGTCATAGAGGGCAGTCACATCGGCCTGACGGCTGCCAAGGCTTGAAGCCTCATATACCATGCCCATTTCTCATAAGCCATGTTACACCTCTCAAACCTTTCTCCTCTTCCCTGCTGGCAGCTGTGTGGTCATAGAGGGCAGTCACATCGGCCTGACGGCTGCCAAGGCTTGAAGCCTCATCGACGGTCACATCACTGCATTTCCCTTCAAGGCTCTTATGCCATGTGACACACCTTATGTCTTTCTCCTTGTCCCCCTGCTGGCAGCTGTGTGGTGATAGAGGACAGTCACATCGGCCTGACGGCGGCCAAGGCTTTAAGCCTCATAAGCCATGTAGCGCCTCGTGTTTCTCTGCTCTTCCCTGCTGTGTCCTGCTGGCAGCTGTGTGGTGATAGAGGACAGTCATATCGGCCTGATGGCGGCCAAGGCTTTAAGCCTCATAAGCCATGTAGCGCCTCGTGTTTCTCTGCTCTTCCCTGCTGTGTCCTGCTGGCAGCTGTGTGGTGATAGAGGACAGTCACATCGGCCTCACGGCGGCCAAGGCTTTAAGCCTCATAAGCCATGTAGCGCCTCGTGTTTCTCTGCTCTTCCCTGCTGTGTCCTGCTGGCAGCTGTGTGGTGATAGAGGACAGTCATATCGGCCTGACGGCGGCCAAGGCTTTAAGCCTCATAAGCCATGTAGCGCCTCGTGTTTCTCTGCTCTTCCCTGCTGTGTCCTGCTGGCAGCTGTGTGGTGATAGAGGACAGTCACATCGGCCTCACGGCGGCCAAGGCTTTAAGCCTCATAAGCCATGTAGCGCCTCGTGTTTCTCTGCTCTTCCCTGCTGTGTCCTGCTGGCAGCTGTGTGGTGATAGAGGACAGTCATATCGGCCTGACGGCGGCCAAGGCTTTAAGCCTCATAAGCCATGTAGCGCCTCGTGTTTCTCTGCTCTTCCCTGCTGTGTCCTGCTGGCAGCTGTGTGGTGATAGAGGACAGTCATATCGGCCTGACGGCGGCCAAGGCTTTAAGCCTCATAAGCCATGTAGCGCCTCGTGTTTCTCTGCTCTTCCCTGCTGTGTCCTGCTGGCAGCTGTGTGGTGATAGAGGACAGTCATATCGGCCTGACGGCGGCCAAGGCTTTAAGCCTCATAAGCCATGTAGCGCCTCGTGTTTCTCTGCTCTTCCCTGCTGTGTCCTGCTGGCAGCTGTGTGGTGATAGAGGACAGTCACATCGGCCTCACGGCGGCCAAGGCTTTAAGCCTCATAAGCCATGTAACGCCTCGTGTTTCTCTGCTCTTCCCTGCTGTGTCCTGCTGGCAGCTGTGTGGTGATAGAGGACAGTCACATCGGCCTCACGGCGGCCAAGGCTTTAAGCCTCATAAGCCATGTAGCGCCTCGTGTTTCTCTGCTCTTCCCTGCTGTGTCCTGCTGGCAGCTGTGTGGTGATAGAGGACAGTCATATCGGCCTGACGGCGGCCAAGGCTTTAAGCCTCATAAGCCATGTAGCGCCTCGTGTTTCTCTGCTCTTCCCTGCTGTGTCCTGCTGGCAGCTGTGTGGTGATAGAGGACAGTCATATCGGCCTGACGGCGGCCAAGGCTTTAAGCCTCATAAGCCATGTAGCGCCTCGTGTTTCTCTGCTCTTCCCTGCTGTGTCCTGCTGGCAGCTGTGTGGTGATAGAGGACAGTCACATCGGCCTCACGGCGGCCAAGGCTTTAAGCCTCATAAGCCATGTAGCGCCTCGTGTTTCTCTGCTCTTCCCTGCTGTGTCCTGCTGGCAGCTGTGTGGTGATAGAGGACAGTCATATCGGCCTGACGGCGGCCAAGGCTTTAAGCCTCATAAGCCATGTAGCGCCTCGTGTTTCTCTGCTCTTCCCTGCTGTGTCCTGCTGGCAGCTGTGTGGTGATAGAGGACAGTCATATCGGCCTGACGGCGGCCAAGGCTTTAAGCCTCATAAGCCATGTAGCGCCTCGTGTTTCTCTGCTCTTCCCTGCTGTGTCCTGCTGGCAGCTGTGTGGTGATAGAGGACAGTCATATCGGCCTGACAGCGGCCAAGGCTTTAAGCCTCATAAGCCATGTAGCGCCTCGTGTTTCTCTGCTCTTCCCTGCTGTGTCCTGCTGGCAGCTGTGTGGTGATAGAGGACAGTCACATCGGCCTCACGGCGGCCAAGGCGGCCGGCATGACCTGTGTGGTCACCAAGAGCGGGTACTGCTGCCTCTTTCCCCCTCCTCCCTCCCCTCCACCTTTTTTCCCTTCGTCTGGTTTCCCTCAGACTTATCCCGTCTGCTACATTATCGCCTCGTCTACCCACCCCTGCTCTGCTTCACTGCTCATTACAAGGGTTCTGCCATCTTGTTTCCCCGTGACATTTCCTCACCCCGTTTCCCCACCTGCTTCCCACCCACCAGCTACACGGCAGACGAGGACTTCTCAGCAGCGGATGCCGTGTTTGATGCCATAGGTGACACTCCTGCTGACGGCTTTGACCTTCCTTTCCTCGCCTCTCTCCTGTGACACGCCTCAACACCTCCGCACATGCCGCTTAACCACGTCCTGCTGCCCGCCTCTCAACCGCCTGATGCTCCCGGCCTGCTGCTCCCGACCGGAAGGCCTTCCGTTGCTCTTTCAACACCACCTCACAGCCACATGCTGCCTGTTAGATCCAATCTCCTTAGTCCTTGCCTCGCTGCTGCACCACGCCTCACAACCGCTTGCCACTTGAAGTAGGCCGTGGTGTATTGCAAGTGCAACCAAGAGAGTAAAGATGTGCCATTTGTATTCAGAAGCATACGGTAACAAATGAAAACAATGATTTTTATTCCGACACAACTTCAGCATAGCAAAAACATATACCTAGTTGTTGCCTTTGTGTGATACATAAGTGAAACAGCTTATATCAATATCAACAAGCCCACCTTTCATCACTAAAGTATGTATGTAATTTCCACTTTTGGATCCATTTTAAGCAAAATGCATTCAAACAAAGTGACTATTGGCATTTGTAACATCGTAGTCACTACTGTGCAACCAATCATCACCTTGTGAGCACCTCCACCCCTGTCTCCGTTATAAGCAGGGTGTGCTCGAACTGGGCTGTCAAGGTGCCATCCGCTGTGACGGCCGTCCACCCATCGTCCCACATCACATCCCGCACCCCCCCCATCGTGAACATGGGCTCTGAGAAAGCGGGGAGAGTGGGGAGGGAGGGAGCAAGGTGAGGGGAAGAGTGCTGGAAAGAGGCTGCGAAGGTGTCATAAGCAGGTGTGCTTTGAGTCGACTCTCACAGTGCAGCGACCATGGATGTGTGCACATGTGAGTGAGAGTGAGTGCATGTGTGTGCATGCCATGCGTGTGAGTGCAAGCCGACCGAGGCATGCATGCATGCATGGCTCACCGATGGTGAATGTCTGCCCCACTTGCATGCGCCCTGCCTCGTTGTTGCCTGGTGGTGCAGGGGAGAGCGGCGCAGGGGAGAGGGGCACAGGAGGGAGGGGTGCAGGAGAGAGGGGTGCAGGAGAGAGGGGTGCAGGAGAGAGGGGTGCAGGAGAAATGGGTGCAGGAGAGAAGTGAAGGCGAGAGAAGCAGAAAGGGGACAAGCAGAGAGGAAAAAAGAAGAGAGTAGAGCAAAAGAGTGTAGAAGCAGGACTTGCAAAAGTGATGCGTACAGGGGATCAGAGAGTGAAAAGAGGGTGGGATGGGAGGGAGAAAGAGATGTGGGAGAGAGGGTGGGGGCGGGGAGTGGGGAACAGCTCTTGTCAGGAGAGTGCAGCACTGGGGTCAGGCCGATGCCTGTGCTGGTGAATGAGGGAGGTTGTGAGGGAGACTGGTGAGAGGAGTGGGGCCACGGTGGGCCCTCGGGGGGGCAGGGTGGGGGGAGGGTGAGGGGGAGAACTCATGGTAATGTAGCACGGCGCGGCCGGCATGGAAAACGGAGCCCACACCGTGGCCGATGAAGAGGTGAGTAAGGGGTTTAAGCGGGGGCGAATAGGGGAGTGTACCAGGCAGATTAGTGGCGGGAGGAGGCGAGAGGAGGGTCAGGGGGCTGAACTCACGGTAGTGCAGCACGGCAGGGCCGGCATGGAAGACGGAGCCAACACCATGGCCGATGAACAGGTGAGGATGAGGGTGAGAGAGGGAGAATAGGCTGAGCGGGGGAGAGGAGGGGGCAGGAGGGGCGATCTCACGATAGTGCAGCACAGCAGGGCCGGCATGGAAGACAGTGGTGTGCAGGCCAGGGTGGGGGCAGGGTGCGGTAAGAGTGGGGGATAGGTGAAGGGCAGACTCACGATAGTGCAGCACAGCAGGGCCGGCATGGAAGACGGATCCCACACCATGGCCGATGAACTTTCTCACCACCCCGTAGCTGTGCTTGTCTGCCATGGCACTGCACGAGAGAGACAGACAAGAATCAAGACAGGCCAGAATTGAGAAAGCACGGCAGGGCCGGCATGGAAAACAGAGCCCACTCCATGGCCGATGAACTTTCTCACCACCCCGTAGCTGTGCTTGTCTGCCATGGCACTGTGAGACGGGCAGCATGGGGTGGCGTGGAGATGGGTGAGGGAGAACGTGATGATCAAGACATGGTAGGCACTTTCTCACCACACCGTACCTGTGCTTGTCTTGTCCGCCACAGCACTGCGCAGTGGGGGGCAGCAGGGAGAGGCGCGGAGATGGTTGAGGGATCATGAGATGATTACAAGATGAGACTTTCTCACCGCACTGTAGCTGTGCTTGTCTGCCACAGCACTGTGAGACGGGCAGCATAGGGAGGCGTGGAGAAGGATGAGGGAGAAATTGCTCACGGGGACTTGCACACCACGCTGTTCCTGTGTGGGGTGGCATTGGAATGACATCAGCTTGCATGGCATCCGAGTCATACACCATCCACATGCTATCCACATGCCATGCCATTCACATGCCATCCACATGCCATGCCATCCACATGCCACCCACATGCCACTCACGTGCCACCCGCATGCCATCCACATGCCACTAACATGCCACCTATAACACCACATGGCATGGCAGCATGCGAATCGACACGCACATCAACCCTCAGGCGAAGAAACAAGAGCATGTGTGCGCTGTAGAGGACTGCACTGGGAGGCACGATGAAGCGCCACACACACAGCAGCAATTCATGTGGATGCAAGAAAGGAGCACAGCAGCATGGCACAGAGGGCATGGAAAAGGGAATGATGGTGGCATGTGGGATGGTGATGGCCCCACTTACTGAATGGCATGGCCGATCTTTTTGAACTCTGCATCGGGCCCACAGATTGCAATGGCTGCATTCAGTGCTTCTTCTGTCACCTGGTGGCCACGCACACACGCACGCACGCACGCACGCACGAACGCATGCAAACACACACACACACACACACACACACACACACACACACACCCACGCACGCACGCACGCACGCACGCACACGCACACACACACACACACACACACACACATGTGGTGGGATGGGATGTGATGGTGGTGGCAAGATGAGAGGAAGGTTTGGACTAGACGAGAGTTAAGTAAGAATAAAGGGGTCCAAATTAGAGGTATGGCAGATGAGGAATGGTGCACATAGAGAGTGCAGCATGAGCCACTAGGGGAGTGCAGCATTGGAACATGCAACACAGGTTAATGTAAAGCAATGCAAGCACGGAGAATGAAATGGCATTCAAGCATATACCGTGAGGCTTTGCCACTGCCAGGCAGGCTGGGCCTGACCACAGAAAGAAGCAATCAGATGCGCAACAATTCCCCTCGCAGCCTCAACTCTGATGCCTCTCTCATCTCTTGATCTCCTTGCAGCACGAATTGAGAACCAGCTTCCTCATGGTTCATTTCCACCAGCACACAATCAACACACCAGCATCCACACCCCCTCACCTCCACACCCCCTCCCCTCCACACCCCCTCCCCCCATATCCCCTCCCCCCACACACCCTCACCTCCACGAGCTTCTTGGCAGCATTAGAGACGTTGCCGCAGTAGAATGTCTTGGACGTGTCTCCGTGGTAGCCCTGCACACGGGAGTGAGACAAAAGTGTGGGAGAGAAAGGCGGGGCATGGAGGGGGTAAGCATGTAGCCCCTACCCTCTACGAGCTTCTTGGCAGCATTAGAGACGTTGCCACAGTAGAACGTCTTGGACGTGTCTCCGTGGTAGCCCTGCACACGGGAGTGAGTGGGAGAGGAAGAGGGGACATGGAAGGAGTAAGCATATAACCTCCATAAGCTTCTTTGCAGCTTGAGGGACGTTTCCGCAGTAAAACTTCTTGGACGTGTCTCCATGGTAGCCCTGCGGTCGAGAGTGGGAGTGGGAGAGAGGGGACATGGATAGAGTAAGAGTGTGGAGGTCCTTAGCACGTGTCTTGTGGGGCTGAAGAGAGTGAGAGGGAGACGGATGAGGCGAGAACAAAAGAACAGGAGCGGGTGGGTTGGGGAAAGGAGTGAGAAGGACGGCGAATGGATGGGTAGTGGGGGGGTGGAATGCGAGAGAAGGTGGAAGAGGGGGAATTTGAGTAGGGAAGAGAAAAATGGACGGCTAGAGGAGAAGCATGGACGGCTGGAGGAGAAGCATGGGGAAGGCTTGGAAAGAGATTGAAGAAGGGGAGGCGGGGGGGAAGGGGGATAAGATGGGAGTGCGGACATGATTCAGGCAAGAGCTTACATTAAGGTACACTGTGACGTCAATGTTGATGATGTCCCCATCCTGGTGGGGTGGGTGGTGGTGGGGCATTGACAAGCACATCATATCACAGGGAGGAGCAAAGGGAGCAAAGGGCACCACTCAGTTGAGGTACACTGTGACGTCGATGTTGATTATGTCCCCATCCTGGTGGGGCGGGTGGCCACATTGCATGACAGAAGCAGCAGAGGAAACAAAAGACAAGAGAGCTAAGGTGCACAGTGGCGGGTGGGGCGATAAGGTACAAAGTGACGTCGATGCTGATGATGTCTCCAACTGTTATAGTCACAATAGGCTTGAATGTGCCTAAAACGAAAGATAGAGAGCACAGACGGATTTCTGCACAGCGGCTTCAAACGTTGATAGCGTTCTGCTCACAGCTGCAAATGACTTGATTCAAATTGGATCTGGAGCGTCTTCACGTCGTCTACAACTATCAATTTAGATTGCACGATTTGATAAAGAATTGACGACACAGCGTCGGTTTGAACGAACGGTACTATGGCAGCCACTATAGTCTTAGAACACAAGATAGGAAGAGTTACGAGTTGGGAATGACTCTCAGCTCCTACAAACCCCAAGAGCCGAGGTACAGTGATGTGGAACAGTGCCACACTGTCCCCAACCACGAAGGGTCTCGAAACTACCCTTCGCTAGGGCCTACACCAAGTGAAATGTTACACTACACAAAGTAATGTAACTATCTTCAATATCTTGAGGTGTACCCTTTTTGGCAAGCTTCGAAATCACTTGAGGCTTGACACCAAGGCTCGGGCTCTTCATCACAAACTCATCCTTGAGTTCTTGATGGGTCTGCTGCACACACCTGCGACACGCCGAACGTTCGACACAGGACAAAATAGAAACCGCGCACGACAAAATAGAAACCGCGCGCGAGACACAAACGACCGCGTAACACGCGTCTAGCGATAACTCGCTATTGAGTCGACACACACACTCGACATCATGACTCAACATTCACACACAATTATAAGCATGAAATATATATTATCCCATGCCCTCATACCATTCCATACACACACACATTCACGCACACGGACAACAAGCCGAGTGCAAACCGTAGGGTTGCACCAACAAACTCCCCCTCGGATTGTTGGCCTTAGGTTATGTTGCTCTCTCAGTTCAGAGCCATCCCAGCCAGCTTGCAACACTTCCAATGCTGCTGCTCCACCAGCCTCTTGGTCATCATGTCAGCCGGCTGCCCCGTGGTCTTCACGTAGCGCAACTCAACTTCACCCGCGGTTACCATGCTCCTCGTCCAATGCCACTTCACCCTCATGTGCTTCGTGAGTCCATGCAACACAGGGTTTTTAGCAAGAGCAATGGCACCCTGGCTGTCACAGTACAGTGGGGTAGGTCCTTGCTGCTCCTCCCCCAATTCAGCCAACAAACGCCGCTGCCACACAATCTCCCGTACGGCACGGAAGAGTGCCATGTACTCGGACACCACCGAGCTCAAAGCTTGGTCAACCTGCTTCTTGCTCTCCCAAGCAGTTGGGCCTCCACCAACACAGCATATGAAGCCTCCCACACTTGTCATGTCCTCTAGTTCTGATGCATATGAAGCATCCGAGTAGGCGGTGAGGAACAAACGCCCGGGTTCAACACCATCCGCGCCCTTTTGGCGCCTTTGTGCCGCCGCCGAGTATTGCAGCCCAGCGGTCGGTGTTTGGCCAAGATACTTGGCCACCCTCATTCCAGCTGCTACCTGCTCCTCATTAGGGCATTGCACAACCCTAGCCAGCTGCCCGGTAGCAAACGCGACGTCCGGTCGGGTGTTTACCGCCGCATACATGAGGCTGCCCACCAACGAGTGAAATCGGCGCCTCTCCTCTTCACCAACGTTCTCCTCCTCTGGTCCCTTCACACACTTGAACCCAGAGGGAAAGGGTGTAGCCACATGGTCTTCACTCTGCCCAAAGTTGGCAGCCAATGCCTCCAGGTACTTTCGTTGATGCACCCGCATGCACCGCTTCTCCACATCTCGTTCGATGTGGAGCCCAAGGTAGAAGCTCACGTCACCAAGGGCCTTGCACTTGAACTTGTCTTGAAGCTTCAGCATCACCTCCTTCACAAGGTCAGAAGAGGGTGAGAAAATGAGGATGTCATCCACATAAACCACCATGAAACTCCTCTGCTCCCCCTCGCCAAGCATGAACAAGGAGTGATCGGCCGTTGAGGGAGTGAAGCCGATCCCCTCCAACACTTCGCGCAGCTTCATGTACCATTGCCTAGGGGCCTGCTTCAGCCCATAGAGGGCCTTCTTCAGCTTCCACACTCTGCCACTACCATCATCAAACCCCTCTGGCTGCGCCATAAAAATCTCCTCCTCAAGGATGCCGTTAAGGAATGCCGTTACGATGTCCATTTGCTTTACTACCCATCCTTTGATGGCGGCTCCCGCGAATAGGGTTCGCAGCGTCGTCGGCTTCACCACAGGGGCAAACAGCTCCTTGAAGTCCACCTTCTCCTTCTGCTGGTACCCCTTGGCTACAAGCCTAGACTTGTAGCGCTCGATCTTGCCGTCGGCATCCGACTTGATTTTGAAGAGCCACTTGGACGTTATCGCCGTACGCCCCTCCGGTAGCTCCACCAATTCAAACGTGTCATTCTCCTCGATGCTCTTCAGCTCACTCTCCATGGCCTTATTCCACTCCTCAGCATCACTACTCTCCAAAGCCTCCTTGAGAGTTGCTGGTTCTCCCGGCATCTCCACCGGAGAGAAGAACGCGAAGGCACACTCCTCGTAGTCACTCTCCTCGTCGTCTCCGACCATCATTGCCGCTCCGGCCAGGGCTGTCTTGCCCTGCTTTCCCGGCGCATCATAGGTCAGCATATTAGGGGGTTGAACTCTCCTCTTCCCCCTTCCTTCCTCCTCAGCTGCAGGGACTTGAAGGCCTTGGCGTTGCTGCGGTGTGGCTCGAATCCGTGGAGCACTCGTAGTACGGGAAGGGAGTGACGGTGCACGCTCGCTCACTTGCTGCACCTCCTCCTCTTCTTCCTCTGCATCATTGGCCTCCTCTCCCCCATTCACAAGGGAGGATTGCCTTGTGGTTGTGCTGCCGCTGCTCAGCTCCAAAGGCAGCTCCACATGCTCCAAACCGGAACTCTTCACCTCCCCAAACCGCACGCCTATCTTCGCCTCATTCTCCGCCTTCCAATCCTTGTACATGAAGTTCTCCATGAACTTGCAGTCCCTGCTCACCAAGAACTTCTTGGTGAATGGGTCCCAAAGAAGCCATCCCTTGCTGTTTTGAGCCATGCCCAAGTGCACGGCCCACACCGCCTTGGCACCAAGCTTGTTGTGCCGAAGATGCTTAGGCACGAGCGCCATGCACATGCACCCGAACACCCGAAGCATATCCACCTTTGGCTTCCTTCCTAGCCACTCCACAGGCACCCATTTGTCTGCTCCCACATGAGTCAAGGCTCTGTTCTTGGCCACACACGCGCTCCGCACCGCATCAGGCCAGAAATAGTCGGGTAGCCCGGCTTCAATGAGCAACCCGCGTGCCGCCTCCGTGATTGTGCGGTTCGCTCGCTCGGCGATGCCGTTCATTGCAGGGGAGTACGGCATGGTGAGGGAGTGTCGAATACCATTCTTCTTCAGCCACAACCCAAACTCCTTGCTCAGGAACTCTCCCCCTCGATCGGTGCGGATTGACTTAACTAGACGGTCTTGTTGCCGCTCCACCATCGGGAACCAATCCGTCTTCAACGTTTCAGCCACGTCGCTCTTCTTGGCCAGCACGTACACCCAAGTCATGCGGGTGTAGACGTCGACAATGGTGAGAAAATACTCAGCTCCAGCAGCTCCAAGCTTCAGGGGGCCCACCACGTCCATCACCACCTCGTCAAGCGGTGCCTTTGCCGTTGCCTCCGAACTAGGGAACGGAAACCGGGTGAACTTGGCTTGAATGCACGTCGGGCAGCCAAGCACCTCATCGGGCCCCCCCTTCACACGTATGCCAGCAACCATCTCATTCTTCACTAGCTGCTGCAAGATGGGCAGGGCCACATGCCCCATGCGCCGATGCAAGGTGAGCCAATCACACTCCCCCGTAGCCGAAGTTGGATTGGAGAATGCCGCGCTCGCAATAGCGCCCCACATACTCTCTCCGTAGTCCTCCTCCGCTGCTGCCTCTGGGTTCTCCTCACCCTTTTGCTGCTCTTTGGTTGCTGCACCACTCTCCTTAGGTTCACTGAACTTGCTGGTCCCTCCAGGTTTGCTCTTCTTGAGCTCATTCTCCTTAGCGCGCCATCGTCGCTACCGACCGCTCCATCCTTGGTGCTGATGCTTGCTGCCACTTGCCTCTCCTTAGGCATAGGGACCACTGGAATCTGCCACATCTCGTTGTAGACATCCCTGTCCTCATGAAGGTCCCAAAGAATTCGATCGCCAAGCCTTGCGGTGTAGGTCTTGGCTCCCTTCGAGTTCGTGTCCATGCCGGCCTTTGCCAACCGCCGCACGGAAATCAGGTTTGCAGCAAGGCTGGGCACCCAAAGCACGTTCTTGAGGCCCACCATCTTCCCATCAGCACCCTTGAACATGGCCTTGCCCATGCCTTTCACCTCTGCTCGCTGCCCCAAAGCCGATGTGACATGCTTCACCGGTGACGGCTCGAGTTCGGTGAGCAAGTCCGGGCGAGGTGTCATGCTATAGGTAGCGCCACTATCAATCACCCAATAGTCCAGGGGGTGTAGGGTCACCTTCCCCACAGCTGCTGGCTCCTCAAAGCCTTCATCCTTCTCTGGACCAGCCGGTACTTGCGTCGACACGAAGTAGAATAGACCCGGGTATCGATCGTCGCTCGGGTCCTTGTCGTTGTCTCCGCTCTTCATGTTTGCAGCTCCGCCACCGCGACCGCCACGGCCTCCACGGCCTCGTCCTCTCCCTCCTCCTGCTCCTCTACCCTCTTGGCCTTGAGCAGGGGTCCAACCATCAGGGAGTTTGTAGCAGTCGCGCCACATGTGTCCGCTCTTGTGGCAATAGTGACACTCGCCGTCGAATCGGCCGCGACCGCGTCCGTAGCTCTTGTCGTCGCTGCCGTAACCGCCACTCCTGCGGCCTCCGCCGAAGTTGCTGCCACCAAACCTTCCTCCCCCTCGTCCTCTGCCTCTTCCTCGACCATATCCACGGCCGATGCTCGCTGCCCCAGCGCCATCCGCACTCGCCAACTCACGGCGGCGGAAATCCTCTTGAAGGATAGCTCGCTTCACGTCTTCAAGCGAGAGGCGGGGCAAGTCGCGATTAAGGTTGATGATGAGCGAGGACCATGACTCTGGGAGTAAGGCCAGCAACTTGGTCTTCTTTTGGAGCTCACTGTAGTTCAAATCAGCTCCCTCAAGCCGCGTCAACAAGTCGAAGAATTTCTCCACCCCTTCTTCAACCGCTTCGTTTTCTTCAATTCGTAGTGCCGCCATTTGCCGTTCCAACACCACCGCTACCGCCGCTGTTGCAGGAGCATGTACACCCTTGAGAGCAGCCCATGCCTTTGGTCCTTTCTCTGGTTCACGCTGGAATGGCTTGATGTGACGGATCTGACTGCTCCCCAACGCTTGCCCAAGTAAGAGATAGCCTTGTGCGCTCTTCCGCACCCACGGGCTCTTCTCCGGGTCGTTCTCGGGGCGCTTCTCCGTTCCTTCCATCACCTCCAGCAGGTCATAGTGGTCAAATATGTTCTCCATCTTGAAGGACCATTCAGCAAAGTTTTCACCGTTGAACTTGTCAAGCCCAAACACCCTAAGCTCATCCCTAGGTGGGCCAAGACTTGGTTGCATGGGCGCCATGGCTGAATCACGGGGTTGGCCTTGAGCTTGAGCTTCTCCACTGCCACCAGCACCTCTGCCACCCCTTTCCTCAGGTTCAGACATTGTCGAAACTGCTCCAAGGCCTCTGATACCACTTGTTATAGTCACAATAGGCTTGAATGTGCCTAAAACGAAAGATAGAGAGCACAGACGGATTTCTGCACAGCGGCTTCAAACGTTGATAGCGTTCTGCTCACAGCTGCAAATGACTTGATTCAAATTGGATCTGGAGCGTCTTCACGTCGTCTACAATTATCAATTTAGATTGCACGATTTGATAAAGAATTGACGACACAGCGTCGGTTTGAACGAACGGTACTATGGCAGCCACTATAGTCTTAGAACACAAGATAGGAAGAGTTACGAGTTGGGAATGACTCCCAGCTCCTACAAACCCCAAGAGCCGAGGTACAGTGATGTGGAACAGTGCCACACTGTCCCCAACCACGAAGGGTCTCGAAACTACCCTTCGCTAGGGCCTACACCAAGTGAAATGTTACACTACACAAAGTAATGTAACTATCTTCAATATCTTGAGGTGTACCCTTTTTGGCAAGCTTCGAAATCACTTGAGGCTTGACACCAAGGCTCGGGCTCTTCATCACAAACTCATCCTTGAGTTCTTGATGGGTCTGCTGCACACACCTGCGACACGCCGAACGTTCGACACAGGACAAAATAGAAACCGCGCACGACAAAATAGAAACCGCGCGCGAGACACAAACGACCGCGTAACACGCGTCTAGCGATAACTCGCTATTGACTCGACACACACACTCGACATCATGACTCAACATTCACACACAATTATAAGCATGAAATATATATTATCCCATGCCCTCATACCATTCCATACACACACAAATTCACGCACACGGACAACAAGCCGAGTGCAAACGGTAGGGTTGCACCAACAAAAGACAAGAGAGCTAAGGTGCACAGTGGCGGGTGGGGCGATAAGGTACAAAGTGACGTCGATGCTGATGATGTCTCCAACATGGTTGAGTTGAATTGATGGTTGACACAAGTAGCACGGTCGAAAGGTTAGTGCGGCTAATGAAAAGAGTAAAATGGCTTGGAAGGTCATGCAAGAGGAGGAGCGGCGAGCGCCGCTCACAGAGGCACATCACAGCGAGGAGCAGAGCAAAGCGTGGTCGTACATAGCAACGTAGGGGGATGTGTGAAGAGAGAGAAGGTAGATAGCCCAATAAAAAAACAAAATCAAAAAGAAAGAAAACTGGAAGACTAGACATGCACGGAGAAGAGGCACATGAGCTAGGCACTGGGAATAGCTACAGCCAGCAGCTACCTCCAGTAAAAGCGAGTTGGGGTGCCGTGGCAGATGCACATGCAGTTGTTGACAGACATGCACACGGACTCGAGACGTGGGGCGAGCTATCCCTTGCCTTCTCTTCCCGTGCACCCGCACAGCACCTTTTACATCACACATGCAATGCAAGCCTGCTGCCTACCTATCTCCAGCGGCCGCGAGTCGGGGATGCCGTGGCAGATGCACTCATTCATCGAGGCGCATACGGACTCAAATTGCAGGAGTGAGGGTCGAGCTCTCCCTTGCGCTCCCTTCCCTTGTACCACCGCACTCCATGACATGATACGTGCAGCCTGCTCGGCTCCTTACCTCCAGCGGCCGCGAGTCGGGGAATGCCGTGGCAGATGCACACGGACTTGAACCCACCTCTGGGAGCACCTCACAGGGGACGGAAGAACCGGTCCCCCCATCACTGGGTCACCCAGTCAGCCAGCACTGCTAGCCTGCAGCTTACCTCCAGAGGGCGTGAGTCGGGGATGCCGTGGCAGATGCACTCGTTGACCGACGTGCACACGGACTTGGGGAGGCCCGAGTAGCTCAGCGGCGAGGAGTATGCTCATCCCAGCCAGCAATGCACTCCTTAGCCAGCAATGCACTCCTTAGCCAGCAATGCACTCCTTAGCCAGCAATGCACTCCTTAGCCAGCAATGCACTCCTTAGCCAGCAATGCACTCCTTAGCCAGCAATGCACTCCTTAGCCAGCAATGCACTCCTTAGCCAGCAATGCACTCCTTAGCCAGCAATGCACTCCTTAGCCAGCAATGCACTCCTTAGCCAGCAATGCACTCCTTAGCCAGCAATGCACTCCTTAGCCAGCAATGCACTCCTTAGCCAGCAATGCACTCCTTAGCCAGCAATGCACTCCTTAGCCAGCAATGCACTCCTTAGCCAGCAATGCACTCCTTAGCCAGCAATGCACTCCTTAGCCAGCAATGCACTCCTTAGCCAGCAATGCACTCCTTAGCCAGCAATGCACTCCTTAGCCAGCAATGCACTCCTTAGCCAGCAATGCACTCCTTAGCATGACACATGCACGCACGCCTGCGGTGGCCTGCTCACCTCCAGCGGGCGCGAGTCAGGAATGCCGTGGCAGATGCACTCGTTCACGGACGTGCACACCGACTTGGGGAAGCCCGAGTAGTTGAGCGGCGAGGGGTATGCTCCCGCCTCAATGTAGGCTCTCCATTACCAGCAGTAGCAGAGCACCCTTGACTTGAGAGCTTGCGGCTTACCTCTAAAGGCCGCGAGTCAGGAATGCCGTGGCAGATGCACTCGTTGACGGACGTGCACACCGACTTGGGGAAGCCCGCGTAGTTGAGCGGCGAGGGGTATGCTCCCGCCTCTATGATCATCTCATGCACCGCTCGGTCGATCTCGTCTGTTGTCACGCCGGGCTGAGGAAATGGGGCAGCACGGACGAAAAGTGCACACGGAATGGGGCAAGGGGTATGCACCCGCCTCAATGATCATCTCGTGCACTGCGCGGTCGATCTCGTCTGCTGTCACTCCGGGCTGGGGGGATGGGGGTGCTAGAAGGGGAGAACAGAGAATGGGCATACTTGAGCGGCGAGGGGTATGCGCCCGCCTCGATTATCATCTCATGCGCCACACGGTCGATCTCGTCTGTTGTCACGCCGGGCTGCGCATACGGGAATGGGGATGAGATGGACGGATATAGGGCAGCACGGAGGGGTATGTGATTGCCTCAATGATCGCCTCGTTCCCGCACGGTCAATCTCGTCCGTTGTCACGCCAGGCTGAGGAAATGGGGAAAGTGCACACGGAATGGGGCAAGGGGAATGCGCTTGCCTCAATGATCACCTCGTTCCCGCACGGTCGATCTCGTCTGTTGTCACGCCGGGCTGTGAGGATGTCGGAAACAGGTCAGTCAGAGCAGACAATTGTGGTTGGGTTGGGAGCCCTTTCACAGACAGGTGTCTTTTGAGTCGACTCAAAGGTCAGTCAGAACAGACAATTGTGGTTGAGTTGGGAGCCCCTTCACAGACAGGTGTGCATTCGGACGGACTTGATTGAAAAGCCAGGCGGGGTAGGTGAGCAGCAGAGGATTTGAAAGGCGAGTGGGGTAGGTGAGCAGCAGAGGATTTGAAAGGCGAGTGGGGTAGGTGAGCAGCAGAGGATTTGAAAGGCGAGTGGGGTAGGTGAGCTGAGGATTTGAAAGGCGAGTGGGGTAGGTGAGCTGAGGATTTGAAAGGCGAGTGGGGTAGGTGAGCTGAGGATTTGAAAGGCGAGTGGGGTAGGTGAGCTGAGGATTTGAAAGGCGAGTGCTGGTACCCCTCGCCCAAACCTTTACTTTCAATGGTCGTCAGCAATTCTTTAAATTAGAATGCTCAAACATGGGGCATAGAAACCCAACCCAGAGTACAGAACAGCACAAACGCCCTTCGGGCTGACTTTCGAGTCGACTCAGAAGTCAGCTCGTTACAATGCCACCCAGAGTACAGCACAGCACAAACGCCCTTCCATCCCCCCTGCCCCCACCCACACCCAAACCCCCACGCCCAACCCGCTCCCACCCCCACCCGCACGCACACACACCCACAACACCACTAACCTTCACAAGCGTGCCGGCGTGGTCTCTCACTCGTGCTGCCAGCTGCCCCGCCTCCCTCATGCGCCTCTGGCCCTCCTCCCCATGCACCTGCCATCCCATGCCATGCCATGCCATCCCATGCCATGCCATGCCATCCCATGCCATGCCATGCCATCCCATGCCATGCCATGCCATGCCATGCCATGCCATCCCATGCCATGCCACGCCATGTCATACCATACCATGCCATACCATACCATGCCATACCGCACCATGCCATACCATACCATGCCATACCATGCCATACCACGCCATACCATGCCACACCATGCCATACCACACCACACCATACCATACCATGCCATTTACCAGTGAGACAGGAGCGTGCGTGTGGTGTGTGAGAGAGAGGGATTAACAGCATGAGTGAGTGTGGCTGAAAGTGATGCAATAGCAGCGTCTCCTCTCCTTCTGTACCGGCCAGCACCACAGAGCACGCCTCATCCTCACAACACACCACAGCACACACCTGGGGCTCCATGGTAAAGGTTGGGGAAACGCCGCTGTCAGTGTAGGGCGGACGAGGGATGTGGGGGAGTGGGTGGGAGAGGCACCCAAGTGCCTGCCCGCTGCCATTGGCCTGGAACCACTTAAAGCCACTCTGAACAACGTAAAGCCACTCACAATTGCTTGCTTTCGTTCTCCTTCTCTCGCACACACACCTGGGGCTCCATAGTGAAGGGTGGGGAGATGCCGCTGTCAGCGTAGGGCGGGCGCGGGATGTGGGGGGGCACTGCGCGCATGGGGGACAGCTTTCCGCGCCTCAGAGGAGCCTTGGGGCGCGACTCTGCTGGCGGGCCTGACATGCTGGGGGGTGGCACATAGGGGGGTTGGGGAGTAGTAGCACCTGTTAGATTATACTACTCTTCTGTATCCTGCATTGATCCTATAAACCCTAGGATAGAGATAGGCACCCAAACAATGTTTGGGTGCACAACTAGGGTTAACCCTAGTTGGGGGTTGGAACCCAACCTTGGCCCAATTATTGGACCCCAAGGTTGGGTTGGAGGATTATTGCCCCCCCCCAATAATGTTGGCCCACTTTGACCAACATTATTGGGGACCCCCCAATAATTCTCCAACCCAACGTATTGGTGGGGGCCAATAATGTTGACTAGGTACCAACCACCCCCCCTTTCCTTAGCTCCAACTATGTAAGCCCTCATCATTCCTAATCAACTCATCGGTTCAATTCTCACAGCACCAGAGTCAGTCAGCGTAGGATGTTGTTGGGTTGGGGTTACTGGGCGGGAGGGGGAAAAGGAATAACCACTTTCCGCGCCTCAGGGGGGCCTTGGGACGCGACTCTGCTGGCGGGCCTGACATGCTGGTGGGGGAGGAGGAGGGAGTGGGTGGAGCAGCAGTGTGGGGTGGAGCAGAGCAGCAGCAGTATCAGCGCCTGAGACGCTGGCGGGGAATCAAGGGGGCCTTGGGGCACGACTCCACTGGCGGGCCTGTCATGCTGGAGGGGGGGTGAAGGGGGGGGGGTAGTGAAGGGGGGGAGGGTAGGGCTGGCAGCATTCCTCACTCGGCAGGGGGAGGGTAGGGCTGGCAGCATTCCTCACTCGGCATGGGGAGGGTAGGGCTGGCAGCATTCCTCACTCGGCATGGGGAGGGTAGGGCTGGCAGCATTCCTCACTCGGCATGGGGAGGGTAGGGCTGGCAGCATTCCTCACTCGGCATGGGGAGGGTAGGGCTGGCAGCATTCCTCACTCGGCATGGGGAGGGTAGGGCTGGCAGCATTCCTCACTCGGCATGGGGAGGGTAGGGCTGGCAGCATTCCTCACTCGGCATGGGGAGGGTAGGGCTGGCAGCATTCCTCACTCGGCATGGGGAGGGTAGGGCTGGCAGCATTCCTCACTCGGCATGGGGAGGGTAGGGCTGGCAGCATTCCTCACTCGGCATGGGGAGGGTAGGGCTGGCAGCATTCCTCGTTATGGTGCCATTCGGCATGGGGGCGTGTGGAGGGAACTGGGCGGGATAGGGAAGGGCAGTATTGGGGCGGAAAGGGGAAGTAGAGGGATGCAGAGAAGGAGCGAGGGGAGGGGGCAGTGCGAGCGTGGGTGGAAGGGAGGGAGGGCAGCATCCAGCGCTAATGTTGCGATCTCCTTCCTTCCCATTCACTCACCATCCACACTAAACCCCATCCTGGCTTCCCACCCCTATGCCCTCCCCTCCGCCCTAACCCTCTGCCCTCCCCCTCCGCAGTACCCTTCCGCCTACCCCTTGGACAGAAGCTGTGCGAAGCCGGACTTCTTCCGCGCCATGGCCACTGGCGCGACGGGCTTGCGCGCGGGGGGAGAGGCTGGGGGAGCAGGGGAGGGGGAAATGGAGGCGGAAGGAGGGTGGCAGCCGGAAATGGGAGGCGAGCAGAAAGATGATGAGGGAAAGCGAGAATTGCGAGAAGGATTGTGCAAATCGCGCGAGATGGCGGATTGCGCGGGACGGCGGGAATTGCGCGAGACGGCGGATTGCGCGGGACGGCGCGAATTGCGCGAGACTGCGGGAATTGCGCGAGATGGCGGGTTGCGCGGGACGGCGGGAATTGCGCGAGATGGAGGATTGCGCGGGACGGCGGGAATTGCGCGAGATGGCGGAACCCACGTGATGTAAGGAGGGGAATGTGAGACATGCTGAAAGAAAACGACAGAATTTCGGCATCGGCGTCGGAAGAACGCGTGGGGAAGGAAAACTGAGAACCGCGCGGTAAAGACGGAGAGGTAGAGAGTACCCCCCTTGAAGTGCGCTACTGAAAAATCTCTGAAGCGACGCCCTCTAGCCGAAGCTTGACGAACGCACCACCCTCTCTCTGCTTTCGGAACCCTAATTACAAATTCCTCCTCTGTACTGCTAGAGGCTGTGCTGGCTATACCTTGGAACGCTGGAACGGGAATGGACCCTTTGGCGAGTCTCGAATCGCTCCATAACGAGGAATGCTGCCAGCCTAGATTCCCCGCGGAACCCGCTAAACCCTGCGAGGGTGCGAGACGCGAAGCCAGCGCACGTGCAGCCATGGTTCCGGCGGTAAACGCGGGGTGTAGTGCGGCGCGCGATGACATAGAAAACTAAGGGGTCGCGCTCGCGTCTATGTAGTCTTAGCCCGCAACCCGCTAGTGTGCAGTGTGTGAGGTGAAGGCAGAGGTTCGGCGGCAACAGCAGGTCAGGACGCATTCGTTGCAGCATCCAAGAGCGGAACATCGGTTCGTGGCGACGGTCGTGATTGGTTATGGTGCGACCTCGCTGGGTGTCGAAAACCGGGTGCCAAATTGAGGCGATCTCGCCTACGTTACCCGGTGTTAGAATGAAGAAGAAATGTTTCCTGTCTCCTTTGGACTTGTTTTCCACCGTCGATTCGCACGTATCGCACTGCCTTTGGCAGAGCTCCGTTCGGTTTTCGCTTTTCTCGCCAAACCTGACCTCAGATTCCCAAAGTGAATCTGATCCCGTGAGAGTAGGGATGTGGACGAGTTGCGAAATGCCCTTCTTTTTCTGAGATCTTGTTGCCTGCCCTTCACCACTGCACTCACAGACTCTGTTTCGCAGCTGCATAGTGGTGTGACCGCCGAGCCGCAAGTTGCTCCCCGCAGCCGGAGGCAGTACAGACGACAGCGTCTCTCAAAACGAGATTCACTCGTTCTGTCAGCAGTTCCCACGAGCAGCAGCACCTTTCGCTACGACGACGACAGCTCCTAGCAGGATCGCGGCGGACGGCGTACGACATCACCTGTCATACCGAGTCGCTCGTAGCAGGATCGTAGCGAGTCGCTTTCTTTCTAAATCTCTCGCGAGCGCAACCAATCCTTCGGTCGCTCTCCTAGCGCTGGTGCAGCGCCTTAGCCGGCGGAAAGGCAGAAGCAGAAGCGTTGGATAATGCAGAAGGTACGCGCGGCGGTATACGATCGTGCGATTGGGTCTCGCTGATTCCCCGTGGGCACAACGCCGCACGCTAGCCATCACGATTAGAATCCGAATTTCGCTTCGGATGTTTCAACAATGTCTATGCCCAACGATCTTGGGCTAGTACCAGTTGAATCCAAGGTGACATGGGAGGATCAGCAGAACACACGGTGACAGACTCTGCTGTGTCCTTAATGCGGTTCACTGCGGTTCACATCTCTGGTTTGCGCAGGGCGAGGGCGCGGACCCCGAGGTGACATGGGAGGACCAGCAGGAGATGCGATGGCAGACTATACAGTGCTTTAATGTGGTTGTGCTTCCTTACATGTGTGGTTGGTGCGGCAGGGCGAGGGCGCGGACCCCGAGGTGACATGGGAGGATCAGCAGAACATCAACAAGTTCGGGCGGCTTAACAACCGGCTGCACGAGCTGGACGACGAGATCAAAGCCAAGAAGGTGAGAGACATTCGAGGGTAGAAGGAAGGGAACTCGCTTTTCATGTCTGTATATCGTGTCACTTGCACCGTGGCACTCGACTCAACAACCGGCTACACGAGCTGGATGACGAGATATGAAGCTGATACTCGCTTTTCAAGCCAAGAAGGTGATGTGATGGGAACCATTTTGTCCCTAGCTTTTCATGTATGGGTGTCGTGTCGCAGTCACTAGACTGAAGCACTGGAATTAGCAGTAGACTGCATGAGCTGACTGAACGATGAGATCCGCGGCATGAAGGTGAGGTGAGGAGACATGATGGGATGGGACTTTCGTGCCTGTTTGTCGTGCTGCTTGCACTGCAGCATTCGATTCTGCAATGAACAGAACAACACTGCAGTACACTTGTTCATTGCCGCGGGAGTGTAGCAATTTCACTCTCTTGATTCCACCCCACTCTCCGATGTTCACCCCACCCCACTCTCGTCTGACCGCGGTATCTGAAGAACATGGAGCATGCAGGGAGCGTGTTTGGCCCCGTGTGAGGAGCAGGTATCTGACGCATTGTGGTGCAGAGCAGAGCGGCAGAGGCGCATGTGGGACTCACATGTTTGTCTCGCCCCCACCTCCACTCTACCCCTGGGCAGGACTACCTGGAGAACATTGGGACACGAGCAACGAGCTCATTCTATGCGATGACAACACGGTGCGGTACATGGCGGGGGAGGTGTTTCTGCCATTCACGTTCGTCTCCCCCCCACCCCCACACCTTGTCCTCTCCCCCCCTGGCAGGACTATCTAGAGAACATCGAAGACGCCAGTAATGAATAAATCCTGTGCGATGACGACACGGTGCGGTACATGGCGGGGGAGGTGTTTCTGCACACAGAGAAGGACGACGTGGAGGGGCAGCTGGAGGCGCTGAGGGAGAAAACGAGTGGCGAGGTGGCGAGCGGAGAGAGGGGAGTTGTTCCTGTCCTTTACCCATGCCTGCGTTTCCCAACCCCTCTGTTTCCTCTCCCGCCTCTCCCCCCTGCCAGGACTACTTAGAGAACATAGAGGACGCAAGCAACGAACTGATTTTGTGTGACGATGACACGGTGCGGTACATGGCGGGGGAGGTGTTTCTGCACACAGACAAGGACGACGTGGAGGGGCAGCTGGAGGCGCTGAGGGAGCGCACGAGTGGCGAGGTGGCGGCACTGGAGGGGGAGAAGAGCAGCCTCGTGGCGCAGATGGGCGCCCTCAAGGTGGTGCTGTATGGGAAGTTCAAAGATGCGATCAACTTGGAGGAGGATTGATGGGGATGAGGGGAAGGGGTGGGGAGGGTAGGCTGTGGGTTGAAAAAGAGTATGGTGAAGGTAGTGGGGCGGATGTGTGGATCAGGCTTCTGGTTAGGTTTTGAGCTACTCTTTCGCGTGAGGCCAACACCCCGTTTTCACTTTTCCTGTAAGGGTGCATCACAAAAACTACTCTTCCTAGTAAGGGTACAAAAATGTGACTGTGTTTTACAAGAAATTTAAATCTTCTTATTGGTCAAGTTGTTTGTGTTGCAGTGAGTTGTGTTGAGGAATGAGCGCGTATAACCCAAATTCAATACTTGACGTGTTCATATCTGAACGGGACCACGTTTTACGCGAGGAATCCTACTATACTCAGTTAGATCTAACTCAGTATCATCAGTGTTACTACACCACATAGCTCTGAAATATCAGTGTAGTATAACCAAAGACATTTTCTTGAAAGGGTTAAAAAAATGACCACTCGGATAAAAAAGGGTGCATAGTCAAACCCACCCTTATAGTAAGGGTCATAAGGGTGAATCACCCTGTTAACCAGAGGCCTGGTGTGGATGTGCCTGAGGGCAAGGCTGTATCAGAGGGCAAAGTGAAGCCTGAAAATGGTGCAGAACTAGGAATGAATGATTGAACTAGGCAAGAGGTGAGTACAAGTAGGGGAAACCTAACCCTAAAGTGTTATACTCACTAAGGAGTGACCCTACTGTAGCCTAGAGATACAATTGCAATTTGACACACCCCCATAGGCAAAGTAGGGGATAGCAAACACAACAAGCGGTCACAAGACCAGTCTGCAGAAGAGAACACAGCCCAGGGTGGATCACAAAGTCACCACGCATTATGAGCACAAGAAAGTGGCCATAAGGCCAGTTCACATGCAGAGGTATATAATAGCAAGGCAGTACACTGATCGCAACATAGCAAGAGAAAACATGCAGGTATAAAGATATATAGCAGTGTATAGCAAGAACAAGTCAAGCAACCAGCAGGTGAGGCAGAGTGGGCACAAGCCCAAGAGCAGTGCAGAAACGCTGATGATCACCAGCCCCAAGGGCTTTGGTGAAGACATCAGCCGTGTTGGCCCGAGAGGCCACGAAAGCAAGGCGCAGCTGACCACGCTGCTGCAGCTCACGCGCAAGGAAGTAGCGAAGAGCAATGTGCTTCGTTCGGTGCTCCAGTCTCTGCTCGCGACACAAGGCAAGCATTGCCTTGTTGTCGACGTACAGAACTGGAGGAGAACGAGACCGCTCCCCCAAGTCGGTCAGCAGGTAGGTCAGCCAGCGGAGCTCCTGTGCAGCCATGGCCCTAGCGTAGATCTCGGCCTCACAGCTGGAACCAAGCACAGAAGAAGAACGAGTGGACCTCCACGAGACAAAACCAACGCCAAGACTGAAGGTGTAGCCCTGTGACGAACGCTGAGTCGCCTGGTCGTCGGCCTAAGAAGCGTCAGAGTGTCCTGTGAGGACCACCGAACCCCGTCCTCCACGAGCCCCATGTCCGATGTGCTGCACAAGTAACGCAGTACCCTCTTCGCAGCATCAAAATGCACCTTTCGGTGCCTACCGGGTGCCACGTAGCGAGCCAGAAGGCTCTGAGGGTACGCGAGGTCAGGTCGTGTGCACGTCATCAGGTACATGAGGCAGCCCACAAGCTCTGGGTATGGACTCGTCCGAAGGTGGAGCTGAGAGCGAATGGCCGGTAGCCAGAGGAGAGGGCTGTGGCGAGGAGTACGTGAAGCGGAAGCGCTGAAGGACCTGGTGCACCATGTGTGACTGAGGCAGGGTGATGGTGCGCCGTGGTCTGTCCCGGGTGATCTGCAAGCCAAGATAGCTCCGCAGCTCACCCGGGTCAGTGCAAGTGTGTCTCTCTTGCAGCTCCGCCTTCACTAGGGCCAGTGCCTCAGTGTCAGCAGTAGCAAAAACCAAGTCGTCGACGTACACGAGGATGTAGAACGGCGGCAGAGTAGTGTCCGTGCGTAGAAACAGCGACGGGTCAGCAGTCGAAGGAGCAAACCCAAGAGCCGCAAGTGTCGTCCTCAGTGTGTCGTGCCACTCACGGGGCGCCTGACGCAGGCCGTACACTGGTCGCCATAGGCTCCACAGGGTACCCTCAGGAAACGACCCAGTCAAGCCCTGTGGACGGCGCAACCAGATGGCCTCGTGAAGGCTACCCTACAAGAAAGCTGTCGAGAAGTCGAGGGAGTGCAGCTCATAGTCACGCTGAGCTGCAACGTGTAGCAACACCCGAAGAGTGGTCATCTTCGGGGTGGGGGAGAAGGTCTGAAAGAAGTCGACC